AGATCTTCGCCCGTACGAAAGCCATCACGAGAGGGAAAGGCACCCTTCTCTGCCGCGAGATCAAGCGTCCGCCTGTGGTCATCACTGGATTACACCATGCAACAGCTTGGCTGATGAATTGACAGCCACTAATAATTTTAGCCTGGTCTACGCCATGGTGCCACACGCGCACGGCTGATTCAGCCTGATTGAGGCAGCTTTTTCTGGCCAGTGAATCCCTTTCACTATTCATTTTTTCATTTTTTTACATTCTTTCTTCATTTTTTATGCACACACCACATCACATGCTCCGGCATGCACTGGCGGTTGGTAACCAGTGACCACCCAGGAGATCGAGAATGAAAGAAGAGCTAGGAGAATGAGAAAGAGAAGAAAGACGTGTGTGACCATAATCGTCGGGAATTGAACCCGCAACCTCTCGATTGGAAATCGACTGCACATACCACTGCACCATATGGGACACATCTTCCGTCCTTCCTTGTACATGTACATTGTAGATCTACATGTGCCACTGCCGTGTCCGGCTATGTGGCTCGAGCTTCCGTACTTCCCTCTGTCTCTCTAAGCCATGGAGCAGGGTGACCGGTGGCAAGGACCGTGACGCCATATACCACTCCTTTTGCACCGATGTGGAAATCATCATTGCAGAAAATGGTCTCTTTCAGGCTGAAAAACGTACCTAAGGCAGTAGCGACTCGCCGGGATACATCGAATGTGCTCCGAGCATCGGTCATAACCTGACATCCCAGGTAGCGGAAGGCATCTGTAGTGCGTGGAGATCCAGGCTGTTGGTGATGTGGGACGCTCGTGCACCGGCCGATGTACTGTCAAGGACGCTTTGGAGTCAGTCACGACTTCTACTGCCATGGCAAGGCTCCCAGTCCGAGGTAAGCGGACGCTCAGAATGACGAGACAGAGTAGCAATGCGTGGCATAGTGACTTGCCACCATGCACTGTACTTCAAGCCCAGGATAATCTCTCCTGTGGCTGGGCACTGGAAATGCCCATCCATCATCACAAGCATGGGATGATTTTGTCATCCTATCGGCTGACAGAACCTACCCATGTGAGAGCTAACAGTAGAGCTGTTCACGGGTTGGAGCGTCCCGATGCTTCGGGCTGCCTCTGCTCGCCTAGGATAATTCCATATCGAAAATAAACTGAGACGGTGAGAGATAGCTATGTAGTGCATTGCACAACCGTCACTCGTCGAAGTGCATGACAGAACACTGAGGTTGGAGAGACATCACGGATCTGTTCTTCAAGACAGTTAGTGCCTCTGCCGTGGAGACATCCGCGAAAGCCTGAATCACACTGGGAGACGAGAATTAGCGCTATACATGTACGTGCAAGGTCAACTGATTTTTATCGTTGTATCGTTGTATCGTTGTATCCATAATGGGAAGCCATTTCTTGCCGTAAACATTCTATTCCTAAATCCCGATGTTGCCTGCTTACCGGTACGGTACATGTAGCTGCTGTAGCGATTGTGAAAACGTGGGTGGCATACGGCAAAATGGCTTGATGGACGCGCCTAGGTATAGCTTTGCCGTTGGCTAGCCACTCTGGGCAAGCCGTTGTTTAGAAACAGGGAGTCGTAGGGTCTATACGACTCCCTGGTTAGAAACACTCGTTCTGTCCCTCCACTACCACGGCAAGGGCGTCGGAACCGCACCTGCCGGGGCGGCCATGGCCGCCCCACTTTTTCGGCCGTTTTTTTTTTTTTTTTTTTTTTTTAGCACACTGCAACAAAGCGCGATGATCTCAGCGCAAACGTGGCAAATCCTTGTCCCCGATCGTGGTTTGTTGCAGAATCAAAAGGCCATGTACACTGAAATGGCACCAAATGCCTGGGAATGCTTGCAATTGGCTTCAATTTTTGAATTTTTTTCCCGGGGGAGGGTAATGTTTGTCCCCGATCGTAGCATCTTCTTGGTTTTTTGCAGAATCAAAAGTCTTTCATTGTAGTTACCGTACACTGAAATGGCACCAAATGCCCGGAAATGCTTGCAATTGGCTTTAATTTTCGAAATTTTTTCCCGGGGGAGGACCCCCGGACCCCCCTTCCATGGCCGCCCCACCTCCAAAGTCGTTCCGACGCGCCTGCACGGCGTGCGGTTTTCCTCCCTGTTTTTCCACAAGGCCAGCAGCCCAGCATCCTATGGCGATACACTCACTACACTGATGGGGCATAACAGCCCCTGGACTTTCGCTGTGTCTGCTTCTTTTCTTTGTTTCCTTCGATATACCCTTGTTTTACTCTTTCCTGAACACGTGACATTTCTTTGACAGTTTGAGTAGGAGACCTGGGCCTCGACACTACAGGCCTAGACTAGAGCCTCTGACCTGCTGGCCCGGGCCGTAGGCATTGGCGGATAATGCTCGAAAAGGTGGCAGATTCTGCTCGAAAAGCAGTGAAATTGGCAGAACCATACAAACCTTATGACGGGCAATTTCTCGAATTCTGCTCCATTTCTTTATCCACATACCAAACATGCATAAAACTTACCAGAAAAGTACCGAATTCTGCCAGTTTTACTGCCGGCATTATCCGCAAAGGCCTACTGCTGGGTAGAATACACAACGCCCCACTGGCAGACTCACCGTCTCTGGACACTGGTCCGGGAATGCTGAACACGTACATTATGATGGCTGCCAGGTGTGGGGTAGGCACCGGCGGATTATGCCGGCATAATTATTGGCATAATTTGGTGGTTGAAAATTTAGAGCATAATTTGGCATCCTCTCGGAGGTAGGAGCATAACTACACGATTATACCACAGTTCTAGTATGTAGGCTATACCATTGTGTACAATGCACCTGATCAGTGCTGGTGGTCTGCATGGTAAAGGTTAAAAGGGTTCGGAGGTTATGCGGATAGTGTTTTCAATGAAAAGCAGGGTAGAAATCATGGCAATACAGTATTGTATGCTCGAACTCGTCTTCTTCAAAGTTCTTTCTCACACTGACACAGTACATGTAGCAGAAGATGCGAGTGAATCAGCCTTCATCAGGTATCCCGGGGCGGACGAGATAGTGGCGGGTAGTCCGCAAAACTCCGTGTACATTACATTTGTACATTATGCATGTTTAAACAAAGTCATGACCTCTGGATTCTAGCAGACATGATATGACTGGCAGGCTATCGATATTGCTCTAAATTGATGTATAGTTGATGTTCGGTCATGATGGAAGGAGAAGTGGAGCTACGGGAGAGATGAGCTGATTATTCGAAGGGTGAGGGTTAGGGACCGGCGGATTCTGCTCGAAAAGCAGAAAAATTGGCAGAACCATACAAACCTTATGGCGGGCAATTCCTAGAATTCTGCTCCATTTCTTTATCCACATACCAAACATGCATGAAACTTACCAGAAAAAGTACCGAATTCTGCCAATTTTTCTGCCGGCAGAATCCGCTGGACCCTACTGCCAGCTGGCACCAGTCTAGTGGACCTTGCATGGCAGACTACACTTTTTGACAATGCAACACAATATTGTGGAAAGGTCACACCAATAAGAGACAAGATCAAAAGGAAAGCTTTACAATAATAATAATAATAATAAAACGTGGCCTGTAAAATGTAAAAAGTCACTGAGTACAGTTTAATTCAATATCCATGTCCAGTATTTATACAAGAAAGGGTTTGCTCCCCACACCGGAGCTCGCGCTATTCCGCCGACTTTACTTGACACTTGACTGACTCACGACTGCCATCCAGAGCACACGAGAAGTCCATCGAACCTTCGACTCGGCAAACCTGCAAGAAAGCACCACTCCCTGCTCAATACACAGTGTTTCGGGGAATTCACCCCTCATCAGTTGAGCTTGAGTAGGCTGAGGAAGATTGTGCCTGAAGAGCACCACTTATATAGTGCTCTCCAGGCACAAACATCACCAGGGATACAAACTTACAGAGACGCTCCGCTTCCAGCGCGACAAACACCTCGTGAACACCAGATAGCAGCGTGAGTCAGTGTCGCTCCTGTGATGCTCTGGATGGCAGTCGTGAGTCAGTCAAGTGTCAAGTAAAGTCGGCGGAATAGCGCGAGCTCCGGTGTGGGGAGCAAACCCTTTCTTACAAATTATCGCCGAAGTCGCAACCACTACTTCGTACAGTATTTATACAAGTAATAAAAATAATCTGCTGCAATTATTTATAGATTCTCACATGCGAGCAACCTGGGCCTCAGCAACAACCAGCTCAGCTAGCAGACTCCGGATGCCGAACCGATCGCTCACGGAAAAGACCCCGTGAACCCCGCAAACACCTGATGCATGATCGCAACAGGGCAAATGAGAGACGGCATCTGATGTAAGATATTACGTGGGAGTACTGGTCCTTCCTCCTTTCCGCTCTCAATAACGCGATTCGGCGATAGAGTGATGTCGCCGCCCTTCCCATGCCGCCACTTGCCGACCGCACAACAGGCATGAACGTCGCGTGCTCCACCTCTCTCACTCTCTCTCTTCATAGCATCGTCGCTTTTCTTTTCCATGGCGCCGATAGACAGCGGTGTGTGTTGCAGATCTATTTGAGCGTGCATGAGGATTAAAAACCCGTATATCAAGTATACCGGTATCAAGTAAAGTACGCTCAAAACTACTGCCCCACAAACCACTGACCGCGCTACATCAAGCCGCGCATGCTCCTCCACAATAATTACTTGTACTAGTTGTAGCAGACCTAGCCTGTATCATTGTATGTATCTCATTCTCTCTCCAGTGAGCATGGTGAGTGGCTGCAGCAGTGGCAGACTACACTCGACTCCACAGCCGTGGCATCACAAAACTCATGAGTCAGGTCTGTAGATCTGCATAACGATTTGGAAGGATTGCCACTGCGGCAGCAGGTCACACCCATGCTGGCACGTCACTACAACAGACGCTGCGGACTCCACTACAAAGTACAATAATTATTACTAGTACATGTAGTGTAGATCTACCAGTAGTGGCAGGCCACGCGCGACAGGAGGTAGGTCCTAATCCCGAGATCTTCTCAGCCCATTTTCATGCTTCTGGCCGTTACTGGCGTTAGGTTATTATCTCTGCCTAAATGCAAAGTATGTGTGTACCGAAGTGGACAGAAATACTTGGCAATCAGTAGCTACGTCTACTACATCTACCACTACTGGTAGAAGTACAGTCTCTCCAATCGTAGTCAGACTCGTTACAGAGTCATTGACGCTGAAGTCCTGGTGAACTTCTCACCCTCCGGAGTTTTGTCATTCGCACTCGATTTGCAGAGGAAGAGAGTAGTTATTGCAATTGTTTCGGCGTATTTGCCGGCACCGATCGCAGAGTATGGGAGGCCGCACGGCACATCCGGATGAAAAGTCAGGTCGCCAGGTGAAGCGCAACTTCAGCTTCAAGAAGCGCAGCTATAAGATCGAGGGTCATGATGTGTCCAAGTGCGTCAAGTATTCGCTGTTCCTCTTCAATCTCGTGTTCTGGGTATGTGGCAATGGATGTTGTGTGCTCGTCAGCTGCAGAATGGCTCTGCGAATAGTATTGCTATAGGTCTTAGGTCCGCTTTCAGCGAATAGCTAGTCAGTTGTGTACCGGCCGTTTACAAGTACAAAGTGCGCTTCTTCCGTAGGAAAGCACACTGCAGACAACGCAAAATTTCGCTAGATAACCGAGCCGCAGAATGGGAGCAAGACTTGATACATACGGACGAATGTTTGACATATTCGTGTCCTCGTATATTGAGTAGAGAGTCGTCGATCGTTCCTTGTGTTTTGTTTTGTGGTTGTGCAAAGCTGCTATAAATCGATTCTAGTGGGCGCAGGACACGCAGGTCCAGAGGGCAGGTGTTCCCCGTAGCAAAACGCCAAGGCAAGAGACGGACACCCAAACACTAACAGTTACTGCATGCAACAGATAACCGGCGTTACCATGGTTACGTGATGAGCACGATGTAGGTCTGCATGTCTTTGAAATGCAGCTGCATGCACGCGTGTGTTGGTCACATTTTAGTGCGCTGTGCAGCAATCGGAGGCTCTCTTTGCTTTTGTTCAGAACCATTATGCTGTTGGTGGCGATTCAAGGGAGTTGTGAGTTGTAGTCATGCATGCACCCGCGGATCAGCAGCTTTCTGAGACTTACAAAGGTTTATGACATACATGTACAGATATCACTGTTAGAGCAAGGCCGGAGGCAGCTTCCGCGGAGCGGTACGCGGTGCGGCCGAAGGGCCATCTTTAAGGGGGGTCTGCAGGCGCGTGCACCGTATGAGTTTTTTGGTGTCTGGAAACCACCTTTTTTCGGGCAATCTTGCCAAAGGAAAAGCGTGCCTACTGGATTGGTTATCCTGCATACGCGTCGATCGACGGGCAGTTTACAGTACAGTGACTATGTCCTTATTTCTAAGTGAGAGAGAGTTGCTTTGCAAGCAGTTCAAAATACATTATTCTCTCTTTCTTCAGTGGAGAGTAGCGACAGAGAGATCGATCTCTAGCTCTGGTTCGCTCCTGGATTAGCGATGACGTTCAAGAAATCCGTTCTGTCTCGAAATTTGAGTCAAGCACGCGCGATGCAAGTCAGTTCAAGGATATGATTGACGATAATCTCCTTCCAAACTGTTGACTCAAATCAAGATCTCCACAGCCTTTCGTTTCTCGCTCATGTGCGCAGCAGAGATGTTCGTCAAAAACGTTGTCGACTGGAAGACGTAAATATGACTGTGCGTCCATGATCCACTTGCGCTGCTTCAGAACGAAGCGCTGCTCCGGCCGCGACTCAAGGGCGCGGGGCTTCGCTTTTCTTCCGCGAACTTCCATCGAAGCAAGGCCCATAACTCTTTATTGAAATCATGTGGAACATTGCCAATACATGCTGAAAACTTCGTCATAAGAACAGAAAGAAAGATCCGTCGAATGTAAGCAGTGTTTTGATGAAACAAACATGCCTGGTGTGGAATAGTGAAGTACCATAGACACAGTGTTATACTTAGTCTTATAGACTGTAGTGTAGCCTGGGCGGCTAGGCCTATCAAACTAATTTTACGTGTTCAATATGACAAACATGTATCGAGTACATTGACTTTTGCACCCTCTTTGCAAATGCTTTTTGAAGTGCTGGTATGTAAAAGGTAACCCGTTTTATCCTATTTACCGGTTATACATGTACCAATATTTCCATGCAACATCGTCCCCTCCCTCCATTCCTCATTAGGCCACCCTTTGTTAATTCATTGTTTAACGTCCTTTTTTTCGCGAAAAGGTACGCGGGAGGGCGGAAAAAAAACAAAAGCCCATTCCAAAAACTGGAAATCCCAATCAAACATTTTGACCAGTAAAGCATGTGATATATACAATAGTTCTGGGTCTAACGGCACTTGCAGGCATAGAACAACACTCTTTGATGGTACATTGGAGCACATGCCTGATGAATCCAACAAAACAGGTACATGTACATAGCATGGAGTTAGCATGTCATGAATTCATTACATCTGGATTTTTACTAGGGCACACACCGTACGATATTTAAAAGCCAACAAAAAAAAGAAAAAGAACACAAGACAAAGGCATGCTCGGGAGGCAAGATTATAAGTTTAAGGTCATGATCGGCACACTGTGAAACTACACAATCATGTATTTACAACTTCGCATATTATTGGTACTACTACTTTCTTGTTTTTTTTCCGGTCGGAGGCAAAAAGGTACGCGGGCGCGGACGTTAAACAACGAAAAAAGAAAGGGTGGCCTTACTCTTATTTCTGTCCTTTCTACCCCTGTACCTGGTTCCCTCTCATGCTCAGACGCATTTGTGCCGGCATGATCCTGGTGAAAGCAGTTGGACGAGCCCCGCATCTCATCAGCACCAGTGTTCATTGGTGCCCTGCACCCCTAATCTTGAGCCCCCCCCCCCCCCCTCCCTCCTCCCTAGCCCTCGCCGTTATCTTCGACGGGATGTCCAGGGGATGCGCATGTGCACAAATACATAATATTATACAGTGGGTCTCCATAAAAAATTTACCAACTCTAGAAACCCCCCTTTCAAGACTCGGTGCACGCCACTGGTCTGGGGGTCCTCCGCCAGAAAAAAATTGGAATTTAGACGGCAAATCCTGCAATCTGGGCGACTCCCTGTACAAATTCATACATCGAGACTTTTTCTCCCCGGTTTTGGACGTTCCACGTGGACCGACTTTTTTTTTTTTTTTGGTACGGCCATGGCCGTACCAGTGGCGCCGGCCCTGTAAAGAGCAGGGAGTAGTACAATACAATGGTATTGTACTACTCCCTGGTAAAAGAGGAAGGAAGCCACCAGAGCTAGCAGCAGTGTGCATGGTATTGCTCCTACGTACATGATTGCACTGCTCCTACGTACATGATTGCACTGCCGCCTTATCACTACACTAATACACACCTGAGTGGATTCGCAAAGCCAGTACACTCACACCTCGTTTAAAACGAGGGAACTGGATAATCGAACACACGTGCTGTGTGTAACGCTATGCATGACATATGCTGTAAATCGATAGCCAACGGTTTTCTTCCGGATGGCGAGGGATTTGGATAAAAGAGGACCGGATAAGCGAGGTCTGACCGCATTGCAATGATGGGCTGCACTGTAGTGCACAATCCCGTCCTGCACAGTCTTGACTCATGAAATAGAGACAACTGGATCAGGGTTCTAGCCAAAGGGGGTGAAGGGAGGCGCAGCGCCTGTGAAAAAATGCCCCCCCCCCCCCCCTACTCATTTTCCGATTTTCGTGTATTTCATGCAATTCAATGAAAGTGCAGTCGAAAGTCACTACTACTTGTAGTATTAGATGGTTCATAAAGGCACATTTGTTTGGGGCGAAGTCGGGGATTCGCCCCATACCTTGCATTTGGCGTGGCAAGACAATAATTATTGGAAATTCTTTGTTGCCATCTTCCATAGGTCCGTCAAATAGTAGTAATAGGTTTTTCATTTGACCCGACGAGACTACACGACGCTTGCAGACCACAGCACGAACAGTTCACCAGTCACACTCCATGCGGCAAGTAGTATTACTCCTGACAAGTCTTGTTTCGTTCCATAAAGATGACGGGGAACTCATCAGAGGAGAAGCAGTTGTTGAATGAAGGGGTTAAGCTGAATAATGCTATTGTATAGAGAAGGTACTGGTGAACTGTGCGTGCTGTGTCTCGTCAGGTCAAATGAAAAACCTATTACTAATTATTGGAAAGTGGAAAATGGGATACGGGGTAAATGTTTTCCGTGCCTGCCCCCCCCCCCCCCCCCTACTATTTTGACCTGGCCAGAACCCTGTGGATGATTGTTGCTGTAACTACAAATCAACCTGCCCAATGCAAAAATGAGTATGTACGTACATGTAAAGGCATGCATGCATGCATGTGTGTGTGTGGGGGGGGGGGGGGCTGCGCAGTCCTACATGTAGCTGTGTAAACCATGGAATAGGTCGTGTAGCTGTGTAAACCATGGAATAGGTCATGTAGCTGTGTAAACGATGGAATGGGTCGTGTAGCGAGTGCAGCTTTCCTTTATCCATGAGATGGGATCTTTTGATGGTGCAAGGTAGCTTCTACACTGTCTACAAGTTTTGATGGTGCAAGATAGCTTCTACACTGTCTACAAGTTTTGAAGGTAGTGGTATAGTTTGCAACTCTTGACTTGTTGCCTTGGATCACCGCCGATTGGCCCAGGTTCCACTGACACTTGACAGCCTTTTGTGTTCGTTTTCCATTGTACTCATGCCTGTACAGCTGTGTGGAGGTGCCATATTGGGCGTAGGCATATACGCTAGACTGCTTCAGAATGACTGGCAGACCTTGTCCGGCTGGTCCACGGACCCTGCCATTCTCCTCATCGCCGTCGGCACCATCATGTTCTTCGTTGGATTCTGCGGATGCATCGGCGCCCTGCGGGAGAATGTGTGCCTGCTGAAAGTCGTAAGTCAATCAGCTCGCTTTGTGAATTTTGTTTATGCTTTATTCCGGGGTGGGGGTGATGATGAGGGAGGGGGTGCAAAATGGGCCCAGTTATTCAGAACAAAATTAATGCTCATGTAAAGTCAACTTCGCTAATAACGACTACGGATAAAACGACAATTCGCGAATAATGACAGAAGTTCCATGCCCAGAGCGGAAAAGTCCCATCTAACTGTAATACATAATGAGACTTCGGGGAAAGGGACACTTTTCTCATGCGCCGTCGTGTGTCGTTATGCGCAAAGTTGACTGTAGTGCACTTCCTAGTACAAGCACATGGCACGTACGTACGAGAACAGTTGAGATGTCTATACCAGCGAACGCGTGCCTCTATGTAGCCCTGAGATGTCTATACCAGCGAACGCGTGCCTCTATGTAGCCCTCGCACACGCACTCCACACGCAAACATGATATTACGGTTATTGCTACATGTACGTACAGGCTGTAGCAAGGTCAGCATTTAATAGAAGTAATGCAACCAGTAAGTCGGCCGGCCTGTCTTCTTTCTATGCGCCCACTGCAGTTTGGCTTCACTCTCGGCATCATATTATTGCTCGAGATTGCTGGTGGCGTGGCGGCATTCCTCTTACAGGATAAGGTATGGTAGAACTCTGATAATACTTACCCATATGGGCAGCAGGAATGCGTACTTAGTGGCCAAAGTTCTTCTTATCACAGCATGCTTCAGATAGAAGAAGGTTATGAGCAGCAGCACACAGCACAACGGTGCTGGTGCTGGTGCTGGTGGTGTAGTGAATGTACGCAGAACATAATTTTTTTTTTCGGTATGGATCAATACACCCGTGCTCCAGACAATGTCCGTGCTAAGAGAGGGTATGTCTTATCAGAGTACACTCTAGAGTTCCACTGTTATTGTGTGGACTGCTGTTGGGACGTTGTATTTCTCGCGCAATATTTTCAGTTGCAAATATGGTATCTGGTGTGTTCTTTATTGTCGCTTCTTTTCCTGACTTCTTCAGTCAGTTTAGGAGTCTCACCAGTGTCCCTGCCCTCCCACCCTTCATTTCTGGGCATATTATCATTGCTTTTTTATCACTTTTTGCCGTGATGTGCTTGCCGTGCCTACATGATGCCTAATCGCCATTGGGAATATGCACATGCACTCGGCTATACGGAACCTGTGGGGTATTGTGACACGGTCCCTCAATTCTGCAGTGCACCGGTGTTGGCCGCTGTCTTAAAGGTGCAGGTGGTCCCTGAATTTTAGGGCATGGGTTTCCGTTCTGTTCGAAAGTTTAAAGCTATTTTGAGAACCATGCATAGAGTGTGGCTTCCGATCATCCACGCTACGTGAATAGAGTTGATGGCGGCATGAAGACAGAGTGGTGCACGGTCTCCCTACAAGATGAGATCGTAGTGACAATCTTGTGTTGCCAGGTCTTGGTTCTAGTGCTAATACACTCTCTGACTGTTGCTATGGCCTCTTGTGTGTGTGTCCCAGGTGACCGAGCTGACCCAAGAAAAGATGACAGAGGCCCTGCAGCAGTACCACACCACCAATATGCAGACTGACCTGGATGATGCTACTGAGGCAGTGCAAATCAATGTGAGTAAACTGAACATTAGATGTCACTCCAGATCAGCACTTACTTAAATCACCCGGTGCCTTTCCATCTCTTCAACCAACACTATCTAATAACATGCAACGGTGCACAGTGTCCATTATTAAGCATTCCACAAGTAGCATCCAGGCATGAATGCTACCCTGAGAGAAGAGTAGCATGTCGGTAGGAAAGATGGCTCCTGTGATATGAGCTGGGCGGCACACACTACCTGTGGCCATTGACTGGATTGTGAGGGGCTTGCTAAGCCAGCCAGAGTATCCATATCGGCTCTGGGGAAAAAATGTAGGCGTCCCTGAAGGCACTGGGAGACCGTAACCGCACGTGGCATGCAATGCGAGGCAGAAAACCGGGCACTGGCTATGTACTATTTTAACGTTTTGCCTGGTGATAATTGGGCCATACCGCTACTCCAGCAAAGGCGCGGAAAGGGCTAAGAATCCACATCCTTTAACCAGTTACACATCACTCAGCAGTCTCAACATTCACATCACATGATCTCTGTGCTGCCAATGTCTTTCCGTCTTCGCCCAATCCGCGGGCATGGCCCATCTTCAGGGTTAAACAATTTTAACTTCTTGGCATTCGCGTTTCTTTTCTCCCTCATCGCGTAGTTTGCTTGCTGTGGAGCAACGAGTTTCCGAGATTGGTTCTCGAACAATCGCTACTACAACTGCACAGAGGAGACGTTTGACAAGCTGCTGACTGGCTGCGGTGTGCCACCAGCATGCTGCAAGAATGGGGTAAGGCTCCAACTTCCAGGACACTGCAGGGTATTGTAGTAAAACTCCACTAATACACGTACATGTACGTGAATTCACTGCCCTTAGGGATTGACATCATGCAATTGGACAAACAATCTGTGTGTTTTAAAAGAGAATATAACGGTAGAAAATTTGGACTTGGGCTAGCTGCCATGGAGTTGATCAGAAAAGTTATGACCTTCACTGATGATTATCTCTGCATTCCTGAAACAGCGGTATGAAGGAATGATTTACTTGTATGCCAATGATTACAACAACTTTGATGAGTCATGCAGCGGCCGTGTTGAATCAGGTTGGCCAGAGAGCGCATGTGGTGGAGTCGGAAATAGATCAGTTCCGCCAAGTTAGCTCAAGATTTTTAAACTGCAGTATGATAATCATGACGAACCTGTCTGGAAAGACTGGCTCTCTGCTCGCCCCACAGGGGTGATTGCTAAGCACAGGCGTCAATTACTTTTATCAATTCAAGCTTGATGTCCATTGGCATGACAACATACTAGTCGTGTTCTATTGGCCTCTTCTCTTCCCTATGTGCGTGTGCGCTACGTCAGAGCATGACTAACACTCAGTGCGGCTACAAGATCTATCCATACACCGGCATGCCGGAAAGTGAGCAGGCGCTTTGGCCAATGGTAAGTACGTCGACTGACACAGGAGCAATTCCGCGTACACTCAAAACCGCTTAGTGTGTACAGGGTGTAAGGCGTACTATTGTGTAGTACGTACTTTTTGCAGTTGATGAAACAAATTGTCACACTTGATTGCTGTGCGGGTGTAGTGGGTGTACTTTGGCTATGAAGTACTCTTACCGTGTTCCCTTGTGGGTGCGTCTTATTAGGTTTTGACTGGACTTGTTACATGATAATGTAGTGGCACTTGACCAGTATGTATAAACCATGATGTGAATGTGAGTTAATTATAGGTTTAATCACTTCACAGCTCTGTTCACACTCTAAACTAACAGTGTACTTGTGCTGGGGGGGGGGGGGGGGGGTGGTGGGGTGTGTGTGTGTGTGTGGGGGGGGGGGTGTGGGGGGGGGGGGGTGTGGGGGGGGGGGGGGTGTGGGGTGTGTGTGTGTGGGGGGGGGGGGTGGCAACACAAATCATTACCGAGGGCAGCGTGTCATTGGGTTGATTTGACACTAGGCTTGCACCCTCGCGGCAACATCACGCTCCTGATCACACTAATGCATAGATAATAGCTCTACCGTGGGCACTGTTCTAAGATTTCTAGCACTCCAACATGGCCACCTACACACCACCCTGACATGTGCTTCAAAGTAGAAGACGTGTTTTTTGGGTTTTTTTATCAGTACAGAGAAGAACTGGCCAATGAAATTCAACCTCCAGAATGCAGATAGTGGCACTTTCAAGTGCACAGAGCAGTGCTTGGGATGCTAGGGCTGGGCAACTCCCGACACTAGTCATCAGGGGTGAAACAACCACAGCATTTTTTGTCTATCGGCTAACCATCCATGTAACGATTGGTTTAACGATGGTGATTTCCATTGGTTATATATTTTACAAGGCCATGAAACAAGCATCGTGGCTGGATGTGTGTCACTCGTGAGCACCAGGCAGCAACATGAGTCAGTGTCGCACATAGGGCTGTGGGAACCGACACTGAGGGCCATTGGACATTTGCTATGCTGTCACCTCCAACCACCTAGTCGGATTCCTGAGTGAGAGACAAAAGTCGAACTAAGATGTCGCCGCGGACATCGGCAATATTTTGCGAAGAAGATGGCCGCTCTGAACACTGGAGCACGCGCGTCCACTTCCTTGTGTAGCATGCATTGATGCCCAGAATGGATGTGCTGATGGTTTTAAAGTAGGGGTGAAATGGTTCGGGTAAGGAACCGGTTTTGGAACCACCAGCTGAAAAGAATCGGGTACCCGTTCCGTCAAATTTCGAACCGAAACTCGAAAAATCTCGTTCTCGTACAAATACATGTACACGCCAAGTCTACTCAAGATTTCTTACCTTATGATCACCGCCCTTCCAAAGGGTTCTCCTATCGATCCTGGTCACTACGAGTACCTTCTTCGCACATGGACTCTCCGATGTCTCGCTCTTGCTCGTAAAAATGTTTTCTAAGGGGCCGTCCGCAAATATCGAACGTTTTTCACCAAACGAATTATTTTAGTTTAGACCCAACCCCTCCCTCCCTCCCCCTCAGAACGTAAAAAAGTTTGACATATGCATGCATAATACAACAAAAGTTGCAAGTGTGTAACTGCTCCTATGTACATGTACATGTATCAATGTTTTCTGAAACGAAATTGGTCAACCCCCTCCCACCCCATAACGAAATTATTTCGTTTCGTGAAAAAAGTTCGATAATTGTGGACGACCCCTAACTTGATAATAATTGTCACGGACGCATTTGGTCGGTCTGGAGCTGAAAAGAGTGCATGGAACCGATACCCGAACCGTGGGAAACTATGCTGGCATTCGGGTACCCGAACATGAAAAACATGGAGCCGTTTCACCCCTATTTCAAAGTCAGTGTACATGAAGTGTGGTTTGTATCCGAATTGAAGCGGCTACTGAGTATTATGATTGCCCTCAATGTTCACTTGACCACAGAGTCTGTGTAGCAGAGCATGAATCGTAGCGCAATGGCTTGATCTGTGCGTGGTGGGGATCTGTGTGACGGCACGCACGCAATTTAGTGGCCGCAATAACTTTTAAAGAGGGTCACTGCGATTAGGTCATGTGTACACTGCATGCAATAACTTAATATGATGATATCTGTACTGCATGCTTGTGTTGCTAGGCGCACCGCGAAGACATCATCAATGTAGGCGGCTGCGCCGATGCAGTCATCAAGTGGGTGAAGGACAACTACATTCTCCTTGGCGGAGTGGCCGTCGGTATTCTTGTTATTCAGGTGAGTCGACAGGATCACAAACTTTAAAAGTATGATATTACAACTAATTCCACTATGCTGCATGATGTGTACGGGATGATGTTGGAGAGCCTGAAATGTACTGAGTCCTTTTCTCAGTGTTATTGAATTCTTGTCACAGAGGAACTTGATCACAAGCTTACACGTAATATTATTTCAACTGATTCCACTGTGCTGCATGATGAGTCAAAACAGTGGTTGAAGATATGGAGTTGCACTCTCAGCCTGTGGAATCCTGACCAACTTACAATGTACTTGTATTGTTACACATAGCGGGGAGTGTCAGCTTCAAGACAACAGGTATGCCAGTAATAGACTGGGTGGCCTTGGCAGACTCCAAAATGAACACAGAACGAGTTGCTGACTGTTTTTGTTTGGCCTCAATGACCGGTATTCCGAGTTAATCATGGCTCGGTTTCGTATGACCTCATTTTTTCACTCATGATTCGCTCGTTGTGTGAGTCAGTTTATTTCTATTGATACAACTTGTAATCTAATTCCAGCGTTGCCATAACTGTAAGTTTCAACTACATGTACTCCCAGTGCTGCCAAATCCACTGTGCAAGCAAAAGCGGTTGTTTAATCCAGGTGGTCTTTAAAACCAGGTCCCATAAATGTACGTTCGTGGCATATCGGATCTTGCAATAATGCTTCCATGTGCCCTTTCCTTTTTTCTCTAAAAAATATTATATTATCATCCAAAATTCATCCTCTGTCCAAAACCTATCGAGAAAAAAAGAACCCTACCAATTTCTACAAAAACAATTACAAAGATTGCACTGCATGCGTGTGTAAGAAAAGTGTTAGCGACAAGGCTGACTACACTGTGAAGTGGTAACGGTGAACACATGTATGTCATCTCACTACACGAGACAACTTTGAACATTTATTAGGCGTCCGAAAAGGTGTCCGATTTTGGTTGAAAACTCGTTTGCCCGTATTACGCTCATCATGGTAAGATTCCGTATTAAGAGAGTTTCACTTGTAACGTCGTGTGCCAGTGATTTCATGGTACTGCTGTGTGGTCCGGTCAATATTGTTAAAGAATATGTGATGTTAACGTGGACCTTGTGCCAGAATATGGGTGAGAGGCAATCGTGGAAAAATTGCACAGTGGCTTAATTGATCTGCAGCAGACACTAAAAATGGAGAGATTCGCCAATTCATCTTGCTCTTTCTCTCTCTTTCTCTCTCTCTCTCTCTCTCTCTCTCTCTCTCTCTCTCTCTCTCTATATATATATATATATATATACTCAATCTATATATATATATATATATATCTCGCTATGTCTGTCTGTCTGTCTCTCTCTCTCTCTCTCTCTCTCTCTCTCTCTCTCTCTCTCTCTCTCTCTCTCTCTCTCTCTCTCTCCTCTCTCTTTCTCTTGGCGATGTCTGCTTATGTTCTTTGCTATTAGATTTTTGGTATATGCCTTGCTATCTACATGGTGGACCAGATCAAGTACATAATGGAGTTCAATATCAGCTGAATCAGGACTGGATTTGGTGATGCATACTGTTACAATCACCAATGCTGCAGTGTAATTAGAGAGCAAACTAGGCTACATCTGTATATAATGTTCCAATGCATTCAACCTACTTCAAGTAGTTTGTTATCTCTCACCCCTCCTCCACAAAAGTAAAGATAACCGCTATGTGTTATGTGCAGAATACTGCATATACCTTCTTCCTCTCTTGCCCGATTGAGCGCCGTGTGACAGACTCACAGACTAACGTTACACATGTTTGAGCATCCCTTAGAGAAAAGGGGGCAAAGGATGCATGTTTGTACAGCTCAAGATATTGCATATTTTCTATTTGACAACTGATCTCAGACTGGCTACCCTATTTCTATACAAGTGCGACTGGATGAAGTGAAAATAAGTTAAATAACACGAATGCGATGCTTATTGTGCACATGGCCCAGCTTTTGTAGCGCAAGTTTTTGAAATTTTCATTACGAGAGAAAATATTACGCATTTCAACACATGTATGGAGCTTACTGCTCGTATCTCAGTGGTGACGGCCGGTATTAAACATTTACGACTTGTTTACTTTGGAGCTCAATGTTTGCTACTTTGTGATCTTCGCTCTAGGCCAGGTCGAAGCAAGTACACAATCTGCCTGCTCTGTTCCAATTTCATTATTTTAATTTCATTGAGAATGACTATCACTGGATGGATCACTGTATATACACTATGCAATGTACATACATGTACATGTACATGTATGTACATATTGTTAGATTGACAGCATGACACAAGGTGAATATACTAGTTTTGAACTAGTATTGGGTTATACATGTATAATAATACCATGTACATGTATGTACATGTACATGTACAGGACAGTCTTGTCCATTTCATTTGCGTTCATGCGCGTGTTCGTGGGTAAGGGGCTAACGTTAGTCAGTGAAACAAAAGGGCTGAAAATTGGTCGATGTTCTGGAATTGCTTCAATATTTCCGACCTGGTACAGTGGTAGTGCTGACCGTAGTATTACAAACACATATATCACAAGAGAGAGAGAGAGAGAGAGAGAGAGAGAGAGAGAGAGAGAGAGAGTGGAAGCTGTGTCACAACTCTGAATTTCACGTATTACTAAGATCATCAGGCAACTGATGGCTCCAAAACGGGCAGCCTGAACATAAGGGGGAGCAAGGTGGGAAATTCTGAGGGTATATTCATAGCGCAAGAGTCAGGAGCAGGCGTGAAGTAAAAGTTGCCAAATCTTCAGACACATGTACAAAGTCATGTACATAATTGTATCAACTATCATACTTCATAGATTCACTGGGCTAGAACTAGTGACTGTAGCTTCCGCTGTCTAAACAAGCGATGCCCTATAGCGACATCAGTTGCCAAGTACCAGTATCACCCAGTATCACCCTCATGTGTTTGTACTAAATTATTCCTTGAAGTACGTGTAGCTACAATTCCACAATTCCGAGGCTACATGACATTGTACATGTGCAATATAGGTTGTCCGGACCTCACACACCACAGGCACAGGCCAGACCTGTGAGCAGTGCAGTGCCAGTGGTGACGGTAGAGTCTACAAAGGTCTGGGCGGTGTTGCTGCTAGCACTGGCAGTGGCACTCCTCTTTTGGTTATCTCTCAGCATCTCGCCTGACGTGTGACGGGTCCACTTGACACTCTGACAGGACCTGTACCTAAAATTGACATGTATGTAGGGGAACAGCAGAAGGTCGAACGACAGTCACAACCAAAGTACTACTGTATACAGTAATCATGGTACATGTAATACAGTCATGTCACATGACTCCTCTGGAGGAGGATGGACCAAACACACCTCTCTCACTTCCGTCCGACGTCACGGTGAAAAGTAAGTCGTTGCATTGTTGACATAATGCGACAGCTTTGTGGCGACGGACTACAAAAGATGGATACCGACTGTCACTTGTCAGCGCTGCAGCGTAGCTAAAGATATAAGTGCATGTACATCATACACGACTGTCATCATGCAGCTGTAGCCCATGGGAGTCGTAATAATACGGAACCGTATTTTACGACTCCCTGGCCTGAGACCAGGCCGAGTCGTAAAATACCACGACTCCCTCGTAGATACCTGGATACCAGGCGCACAACTGTGACAAGTCCAGGTACTAGGTCGGAGCCTCTACTCGACTCGGAGGTGCTACTGGCACTGCCTACTGCCAGTGCCAGTACATGTACTGGTCTGAGACTGAGTGTGTAGCATCTGTGTAGCCTACAAAGTACAATGATTATGTAGGCTGTAGTGTAGGACTCGGAGCTGCAGCCAGCTAGCACTGGCCCAGCACTGCCAGCACTGGCAGCGACGAGTCTGTGCTCTAGCTCTTTCACTGTTTCAGTGTCACCGATACGAGTCTGTCTGTACCGCACTGGAGACTGGAGAGTGGAGTGTAGACTGTAGTACTACTGAGTGAGTAGTCGAGGCCCATTCAAACGTTACTTTTCCTTTTTCATGATTCTCCCGTCGTTCTGTCACGATCTGGGTGTCAGCTCAAAATTGTTCAGCAGGAAGACTTCGCGAGAAGCGGTCTATCACTCTCCAGTGCGTGCGTTTTTCGCTTCAGTCCAGAACGGCAGAATCTGCCCGGTCGGTCTCTGCAGCAGCCGGTGACTCTAGGTACTTCAGACGCTCTCCTTGCCCGGTATTTGACCGTAGCTGCGTTGCTTGAAAAAAATCCAGTTCCGACTGCGCCATCATAGCCTAGGCGTGTAGCCGGTCCGAAGCTATTCCTAAGCTCTTCCGTCAGTTCGGCTAGCTAGTCGCGGAGGCAAGATGCCGTCAGGGCAGCAGCAGAAAGGGATGCAGCGAAGGAGGAGTTTCGCCAATCACAACTACCTGAAAGGCAAAGAGGTCTCGCCATGCGCTAAGTATGTCCTCTTCCTGCTCAATCTTTTACTCTGGGTAAGTGACGGTCCGGGTCGTGGTGCTGCATTGATCTACACCTCGCTACATTCGTGTACACTGGCGTATCTCGAGAGTCTGTTTGTTCTAGTGTAAGTGGCGAGCGTCTGCGAGTCTTGTTTGAGGCAGTTTTGGCTTCAGTAGTAGTACTAGTGCTGCAGTGGTTGTGCACTGCTCTGAGTGACGCCTGCCGACTATCGTGTCAGTCTGGATTGCACGACATGATTGTTATGTATCTCTCCATACTGCCAGGGCGCAAAGGGCAGAGGCAGTAGCACATCTGCTGGTGCTGGTAGCGAGTTAATCTGCGTACAGTCTTGTATTTTTTACTAGAGTGCTGGACTCTGCCGTGTGCTGGTATTGGCAATGTAATGTTGATGTTGAGTTTCATTGATGTGACGCCTGTCAATATTTTGTCCATTAGACGGATTGTTAAGCAAATGGATGGGAAACTTAGAGAGAGGCTCGAAACAGAAAAGTGACCAAGGTCCAGCTTTTGTGCTATCTGAAGAAATCGGCAGTAACTGACAGTCTGTATCCCATTGGACCAGGAGCAAAAATGAATACTGTCTGCGCATTGGACCAGGAGCAAACTATGTTACTTACGATCTGTCCGTTGCATTTTTGTTTCCGATTCGGTCACCATGGTCACTGTATCGGTCACCATGGTCACTGTATAACCTGTATGATGTGTATTAAAATTTCGGTGTCAGGGACCTGCCAGGTTTCAGGTGTAATGATTTTTTTGGTTTTTGTTTAATAATGTAGACTGTAGGTGACCAGCCTACCATCAACATACAGTGTGTACTCTAGTGCATTTCAGGTGTAGCCTAAGTTCTGGTTTCTCTACCGAAATTAAGATTGCACCGAAAATAACGTGCTGCAGTAGTGTCGGGCGCCGGAGAACGGAGCGCCGGAGAACGATCAGGCTAGAATTATACCAAGCACTGTGAAGCACAGCATACCGCTTTATTATCGTTATTACCGTAAAGTCTTGTATAAAAGCCGCACTTGAATAGAAGCCGCAGTTTTGGGCCCATCAAATCACACATAAGCCTGGTTTTAGTGTTGACATACATAGAAATACCTGTCTTGTATAGAAGCCTGTCTCATATAGAAGCCTGCAAAATTTCACCAAGAAAGTCATAGAAGCCGCGGCTTTTATACAAGACCTTACTGTATTTACAGCATAATGAAAACTCGGATGTTGAGCCAATAGTAATATGGAAAGAGAAAAGGACCTATAAGTTACTAGTTATGACTAACAGTCCACCAACGTAACCAAGGTAACGAGATAATATACAGTCAGATAGTGCGACAACAAGGCACGAAACTGACAAGGATATTGAGACATTCGACGACCTGACACCTAGCTCCAACACATCTATGAAGCGCACACCAACAACCTTCCAACTTTGAAGGCTCAGGTGCGGAAAGTTCCTATGAGGGGAAGGGATGTGCCACGAAGCCTCCCAAGTATTTTAGTTGGGCGGTCTGTTGCCTTGCGTTTTCGAGTTGTAGTTAGACCGGTTTGTCCAATGGTCTTACTAGTCTCGGCATTATCATCCCGTAATGTTCGACATTCTTTGTTGCCGAGGGACATAGCTCGTGCACATCTTCTTGGCCGTCCCTTCCCCTCATTGGAACTTTCCGCACCTGAGCCCGTTATTAATTGGCTCCAAGTTATGTTCGGATTGTGAGGTGAAATCCTTCCGTTTTCTTTTTCTTTCTTTTTCCTATCTCACCTTTTCCGCAATATCCTTTGGTTTGGTTTGTATTACTTCACTTCGTTGCCTCAACAGTACAAAGTACAAATATCAAGAGGGACGAACGAAAAGAGAAAGTAAAACAGAGCAGAAAGGAAGATGCAACTGAAAGGAAAGAAAACAGGAGAGAAACGGAGAAGGAATGTGGACTGGGCGGATTCATGAACCATTACTAGAGCGGGGCAAGTCATGAACAGAAGGGGCAAGTCGGTCGTATTTATTTATTTATTATTTATTTATTACAGCATCTCATAGCACAGTGAGAACACCGGCCAATACAAAGAGAGAGAGGGTGTTAGCCAGCCACGGCAAGGAAGGGAGAAGGGGAGGAGAAGAAAAAAGGAACCGGCATGGATAAGTAGTGATTGCAACAAAATGAGAAACACAAAATCAAAGTCAAGGCGCGACAAGGCTCTATTTCATGTTTAAAAAATTCCAAGCCTTATTTTATTGGTGAAATACATTTTCAAAAAGGAGGGGTTATAGGGATATAGTCAATTTGTCGTCATTTTAATATAAATAGAGCGTGCAAAAGTTCTGTAGAAAATGATCTAGTGTCTTCACTTCGTTAAGGCTGTAAAAGGCAACTCCTCCTCTTTTCTGACACGGTTGGCCACTTGTACAAGAACATTGGACCTTACATGGTCGATCACATCGAAATAATGTAAAACCTATAATTGCTAATTCCTCATCCGATACACTGGAATCCATCCAGGTCTCAGTGACTGCGAGTATGTATAGGGCATTATGAGCAATGAGTTTCTTAATGATGAAAACTTTGTTGCGCAGGCTGCATATTTATGTTGATGTGGCCAAGTAAGAGACGGGGAAGAGGGTTGGGAAGTGGTGAACAAGGATGTGATCTGGGGGTGAACGGTGGTGCGAGTGGATTTAGAGAAGACATGTTTACTGATTTGAACCGTGGTCAGAGGTGATCCTGTCCTGCTTAAAGTGCCATTCTCTTGCCGTGACCTCTGGAGGCCAGAAATCTGGGCCGAGGGCTGCTTCCTTGTGTTCCACCGGAATGACGACGTGGGCGAATGCCACTCCAAAGTACTTGGTTTCGGAGACTGAGCATTTTATCACTTGTATTTCTCGTCTTGTACACCACTTGGCAATAGAGTCAGAGGAGCATCCACTCTTTACGTTGCCCAAATATAGTGCACAACACTTTGTGCGGGACCCTCCTGACAGCTGTTCGGAGGGCTTTGGGCGGCTCTCGTAGTACGATGTGACTCGTGTCGAGGGAACGATGGTGGTCTCATAACGTGTGTCGTGTGCCTTATTTGGTCCCTGGTGCCCAGCCTGTACTTTTTTCTTTCTTTTCTTTAAAATTCTATTCACAGTGGGTCCATTGTTATTACTTATTAGGCATTATGGCTGTTTTGATATCCACTATAAAAAAAGTAGCTGAACTCTTGTTGTTTCTGCATGAGGAAGGAGAAACAAGCCGGATAATTCTACCGGAGAAGAAAATCTAAAATCCTAACAGAGTCACCCTAAACCACATGTAGGTTGTGTTGGTTATGCTTTCTGTTGTGCCATAAAACCATGTGGAGGGCATATAGCTCAGTGGTAGAGCATTCGACTGCAGATCGAGAGGTCCTTGGTTCAACTCCGAGTGTGCCCTGCTAATTCTTTTTTTTTGCCTGCAGTGGAGAGCAGTGAAAGGATGAAAAATAGTAGAATTTAGAAGTGTTCTCAGTTGAGCCGATACGAGGTCAGTCTGCATATACGGTAAAGTCATGTATAAAAGCCGCGGCGCTATATGACTTTTCTTGGGAAATTTTGCAGGCTTCTATTTGAGACAGGCTTCTATACAAGACAGGTGTTTCCATGTACAAGCATGCCAACATTAAAACCAGGCTTATGTGCCGACAGTGCATCTCGAAACTGAACCAGGCTTGTATTCAAAACAGGCTTTTATACAAGATACTACGGTACACACATGTAGATAATTCTCACCTTGACCTTGGCAGTTCATGCCAGGTCTGTAGGTGCTGTACATACTGAGACTATACTCTGACACAATGTCATACCGTGTGTATATGTGTGTGTGTGCGCGCGTATGTGTGTGTGTGTGCGTGTGTGTTTGTCTGTGTGTGTGTGTGTGTGTGTGTGTGTATATGTGTGTGTGTGCGCGCGTATGTGTGTGTGTGTGTGTGTGTGTGTGTGTGTGTGTGTGTGTGCGTACGTGCGTGTGTGTGTGTTTGCGTGTGTGTATATGTGTGTATGTGTGTGTGTGTGTGTTCTGCCTCTGTATGCGGCTTTTCATGATTTCCTGCAGCTAAGCGGAGGGTTGGCAATCGGAATCGGTGCCTATGCCCTGGTTCTACAGAAGGTCACCTTCGACGTGACCAGCTTGATTCTCAACCCGGGCGTGTGGTTCATCGCTATCGGCGCTACCATGTTTTTCATCGGATTCTTTGGATCAGTCGGGGCTCTCAGGGAGAACAAGTGCATGCTGAAAACGGTAAGTTCCCCTGACCGAGTCCATCCACTACTGTTAAATCCTAGATGTTGTCAAGAGTTGATAACCAAGATATAAGATTATGCAACTGTGATCTTTGTGTCTAACGTATGGTCCGGCTGCATGTTGCCCTGCCTTCATTAAAAGTTAATGATGCAACATGAACTTCATTTGCAGAAAATGTATGCTGAAAATAGTAAGTTCCCACCGAGTCCAACCTTAAAACTGTCGAAAGCCACTCTTTCTTTGGGGTTTGAAGCCTACTTTTGGATGTAAGTAAGTTAATCCTCATAGAATTTAGGCATCTCGGTGGAACAGTTCAGCGTATCCGGAGAGAATGGGGTTGCTGATTTGAGAGATTTGGGCTTCGAGTGCATGAGTGCAGGGGTATGCAATCAAATTACCGTAGTTAATGAAAGCAACAACGTGGCATGAACTGGCCCGCCACGTCATTGCTTGGTCTTGGTTACGGACTCTTTACAATGTTGCAAAACTTTGCTGAATGTGCACCACCTTCAGTTTCAAGGCTCAGTGTCTGGCTTGGTGCGGGTCTAGCTTACTTAGCCGGTCATCCAAGGCTTTAAAATATTGCTTGTGGTGTGTTGTGTGCTTGCCCTGTGCTCCCAGTATGGCTATTTGGTGCTGGTCATTGTCATTCTGGAGGTTGGTGTCGGCCTTGCAGCCTTCCTGCTACAGGATGAAGTGAGTCACATTAGACTAGTAGTGCATGGACATGCATCATAGTATTCGGCACAATGTAATTGTTTACCCCCCCCCCCCTCTCCCTCTCTCTCCAGGGGTGTAGCTGGTCCCCCTTTAGGAGGGGGGGGGGGGGGTGGGTGCACAGCCGCATATGTGTAGGATGGCTGGTGCATGTCATTCATGGGCATTATGTGCATGCTGAACCTAGAGTAGGTCGACATTTTAAGGGGGTGCACGTGCCCCCGTGCCCCATGCGAGCTACACACGCACACACACACCATTGGACCATTGGACGCCCATCGCCGGAGGCGATGATAGCGATGCTACAGCAGAAGCCATAGCAACTTATGCTGGGATTGCACCATTCAACAGCTTGCAAGGCTGAAGAATTGACCGCCACTATTCAGCCTGGTCTACACCACACAGCTATGAAGTGGCTTTTTCTGGCCAGTGAATCCCTACTTTTTGGTCTTTTTTATTTATTTTTTCCCGCACACACGTCACACCACATACTCCGGCATGCACTGGCTGTTGGTAACCACCCAGGAGAATGAAAGAAAAGTCAGGAAGAGTCTGAGAAAGAGAAGAAAGACGTGTGTGACCATAATCGTCGGGAATCGAACCCGCAACCTATCGACTGGAAATCGCTGCACATACCACTGCACCATATGGGACACGCACACACATACACACAGTGACGGTGACACACACACACACACACACACACACACACACACACACACACACACACACACACACACACACACACACACACACATCCAGTGCAGCAAATGCTTGTGGGTTCCTCAATAGACCACTTACGTTCAGTACATTGCAGATAACTGGTTCGTCGTGAAGTGCAGATAGGCAAGGGCATACTACACTGCCACACTCACAGGGGGGGGGGGGGGGTGTTGGCATGACGATGCAAAGAAAGTACTGTACAATAAGTTCTCATGATCTCCTCACTTCTCATTCACTAGAATTCTCTTACCCTCTCGCCCCGGACTGGGACTGGATCATTCACCAGTGCCAGATCAGCAAGTATGTAGTATTAGATGGGTGTGGGTGGGTGTGGGGGAGTCTCTTGCTGCTCTCCTTTATGAATAACATTAAATTTTGTTTTCCATTTCCAAGTACTTTCAAGACATCAAGAAGTAGACCCTCACACCATTTGAGTGTTTGCTTGTCCGTGTTAATCTCTTGTAAAAGCGATCCATGACAGCTAACTGTACGCATTACCAAGAGTACATGAAATCCAGAGTGTGCAGCTCTGGTGGGTTGCTGTCACGACGAAATTCCGTAATAACATCATTTTAGTTATGAAGTGTGTCCAAGCCGGTCACTTTCTGCACAACTGCAGCTCAGCTATACGCATTACGCCCCTTCCCGCCTCAGATCTGCACCAAATACAAGTATGATGTAATCGTGGAAGTTTGCCGTGACACACACCCATGCAGAAAAAGTCTGAAGCTGCACGCTATTGGTTTCATGTACCCTTGGCGTTACGTACATATATGTGCACCTAAAATAGGAGTGCTCTAGTCTTTCCTACTTGCAGCTGGAGACCTGTTCTCCGTACAGCGTTATCCACGTGTTTCCCATGATATGATAGCGTTGTCCGTTCTGTGTGTTCCCTGTACAGTTTATCAAGCGTACAAAGAGTGTCATGCTTGATGCTATCAAACAGTACCACACCACCAATATGCAGACCGACCTGGATGATACTGTGGAAGGCGTGCAGATGAATGTAAGTGTGAAAACGCCATGGGTAAAGTAGCATCGTAGTTTGTTGGTTAGGGGCCAGTCACATTGAGGGAAAAATGGAAAAAAAATCCGTGGCTACCATGGATATTTGCCGCTAAGCGGGAGATTTGACATTAGTAATCCACCCGATGAAAATCAGCTCGAGGCCACGCTTTCCGAAGAAGCTTATAATCATCCGTGGCTTCCACTGGATTTCTTTGAGTTTTGTCGCGAATGCGATCGGATTTATTCGTAGTCACGAGCACAATGCATGTATATAACCAAGAATTCACAGCTACGTATACATGTATCCTTGTTCAGTGCATGATTTGTACGTTCAATCACTCGCATCCCTTTGTGACACCCCTTTTTCACTTTGCATTTCGTTGCATTTCTAAGGTTCAATTCTGGGCACCCTTTGATTCAGTTTGAACCCATGCACCTTGGCTTGCACACGCACCGACATCCAACACGGACTGTGTGTACGACTATCGGCATCTTTGATGGCCTTCACTATCCATTTTCATGCTCACAGTTGGACTCGTTGCACCGTGCGTATCTTTATGTGTCACCTTTTCAGCTACATGCACGTGGAGCTGTTTTAGTTCCACAACTTGGTGCTCTTCTTGCTTCTCTTTGATTCTTCGCTACTCCTTGGGAGCTTATTTCGATGCGTTTGTATATTTATCGCTTGTATATTTCTGCTGACGCTGTACGCAAGACACTTTCACGGCACACTACTGCTACAGGCATACACTCCGACTCACCTATATTATCGCTCCCCCCTTGTAAATATTCTTCAGTCTTGATTCACAAGAAAATTGGGCACTAAGGAAAATATGGTCTGCTTCGAGTGGTTTATGTAAAGGGTATGTACATGGTTCGCGACAAGTTTCCTTTTTTTTTTTTTTTTCCGGTTTGAAGTGGAGCGATACTCTAGAGGCTGTGCTGATGCAGCTCTGGCCCAGGAGCGGGGTGCCAGAAGCGAATGGTGACAAAAAAATAAAAAAATAACTTGTGTGGGTGAGATCATTTTCATTTTACACATCCATTGAGATCGTGATAAAAAGTAACAAAATTATCCCCGGTTTATAATCTGAAGATTGTTCCCTCAGTGTGACCGGGCCCCTTATAAGTCGGCAGCACAAATCATTACCGAGAGCAGCGTGCCATTGGGTTGATTTCACACTTGCACCCTCACAACACCACCCTCCTGATCTCACCCATGCTTGTACATGAGTTCTTGATGTGCAATCGGCTGCTTTCATTCTTCTCATGTTGCTCTTCCTACTCCTTGTGCTCATCTGTCTGGTGTATCCTTCTCTGTAACCGTTGTTTAGTTGTACCGGCCTCTCTTCGCCTTCAGTAGCTATTGCTGCAATGACAATGACCACCATGATTGTACTACACTGCCCGATGGCTGATGCTCTGAACGGGACAATAATGTAGATACCGTGAAGTCGCGGATAAAAGCCGTAGGGCTTATAAGCACATAAGCCGCTTTCTGCATCAGGCTTCAATGCAAACCATGCTTATATGCACCACCAAGAGTACATAAAAACCAGAGTGTGCAGCTTGGGGCCTTTTCTGCTATGGGTGTCTGTCACGGCGAAATTCCGTGATTACATCATATTTGGCCCAGATCTGAGGCGGGAAATGGCGTAGTGCGTACAACTGAGCTGCAGTTGTGCAGAAAGAGACCTGCTTGAATCCTGCTTGTACGCACTACATCACTAAAATGATGTAATCACGGAATTTCGCCGTGACAGCCACCCATCCGAGCTGCACACTCTGGTTTTCATGTACTCTTGGCACCACTGATATTTTTGCCAGGCTTGTATGCACATCGGCCGATCCGCGCTTGCATAGAAGCCAGGCTTCTACGCGCGACAGGCTTATATGCATTGACCCGTTTGATTTTCAGGCTTCTATCCGCGATGTGCTTGTCTGCAAACCCGGCTTTTATCCACGACTTTACGGTATTGCATGTCATGTTGTGCTTTATTTATACTTCGAAGTAGTCGTTCAACCAAACAGGCAATGGTGCCTTCTCACAAGGAGACGACGTATGTGCTATCTTGTCATTAGCCGTGCGTGTCCTGCTTGTCGAAATTCTCTGTGTTCCTCTGTGTGTTGTGTTGTTGTCTTCAGTTGAAGTGCTGTGGCGCGGACACGCCGCGCGACTGGCTCAAGAACAACCGCTACTTCAACTGCACCGAGGAGCTGTTCAGCGACCTGATAAGCAGTTGCGGAGTACCGCCATCCTGCTGCAGGACAAACGTGAGCAGTGCCGCATACCGTGACTGCTGGTGTACTACCAGCTACTTTTCATTGAATGGCTACAATACTACACAGACCACAATAGATATTGATCATACCTCGTTTTCAGATGTCGGTTTGAATGTGGGATTTTGTTTAGTGCTTTTCAAAACAGTGTTATATCAGGGATATAAAAAGGGTACATTTACTACATTACCATGATCAATGTACTGTGATTGGAAGGTATCAGCAGCTACAGAGAAACCTGTCTAAGGCGACCGCTCAAGGGACCTTCAAAATGTGGTCACTGTGTACCGATGGTCTCCTTGTCCAGGGTCATGGTTGACTGGAAATAGTATTTAGTATCCCTTGGTCCTATTTGTAGTGGTCCTCTAAGGCAGGTGATCGCCGCATATATTCTACTGCATATGCGCTCAATAAATCAGAGAGGTTCAAGGCTGTCCAAGAGAGTGCTCAATACCGAGAGGCAGAGCTGGTTCAAACAATAAGAGGACAGAGAAAGTGTTTTAACTCCGAGTTTCACGCACTAAGCGATCATCAGAAAACAGCAATGAGAAATCTGCCTCTTACTGTTTGCGCTCAATAAATCATTCAGTTTAATACCATCATGCTTGGTTTCTTCCGGCTGTGTTTGATGTTTGACAGTCTCAGACAGATTCTCAGTGTGGTTATAAGGTGTTTGCATATCCTGAGATGCCAGTAGCTGAGCAAGCCAAGTGGCCCTCAATTGTAAGTTTCTTGAAGTTCTTGTCTTCTTTCATTGGGGAGGAGAGGGCATGGAGGATGAGTTGTGTGTTATGCATTTAGCGCTGTCTGGTTGCAATAGTGAGCAATTTCCAGTTCATAACTTGATCCAGTTAGTGATGATGGCTACCAAGCATGATAGCCCTGGTATATCCATTGAGCCCCTGCCGTCTTCCCTACGTCCGTTTCAGTTTAACAGATCAGAAATTATCTACGAAGAAGGTTGTGGCGATGCGGCTCTCAAGTGGGTGAAGGATAACTATGTTCTAGTCGGAGGAATTGCGTTCGGCCTTCTCTTCCTCGAGGTAAGCCGGTAGCTAGATGTCCACATGTATAATGCATGCTCGTGCCGGGCAGGGGTGACCAAGGCGGTGACGAAGGCTGCGGGACGTGGTTGCCCGACTGATTTGTGAACACCGGTGTAAGCATTCTGATTGAGAACTTTGCTATGCAACCACTTGCGCAGGATATTGTCATAATTATGATAGGCATGTATTGAAGAGTATTGTGAAAATTTAATGTGTTTGTTCACTCTACAATTGAACAGAACTCAACCCACTGCACTCAACTCTGCTTAGGTGACAGTTTGCACAGAATCAAGCAAGACTGGTCAGATTGGCTGAGTTCAGCAAATTCTTTTTTCTATGTGCTCGAAAATCGTTCTTGTTCAGGTCGTTGTGATTCTAATGGCCTGCCACTTGGTGGATCAGATCAACTTTCTGCTGGATCTGGCCTAGGCTGCACGTGATCTTCCTGGCTGCTGATTGTAAATGTGACGTGGCAGCAAAGGAGCCGCAGCACACACCTGCCTGGCCTGGCTGTGTAACCAGAGTTCATCTGGTCGTTTAGATGTGAAGGGCGCTATAAGAAGGAACAACCAAGTCGTGGTTCCCGTTTCACTCAAAGTTGCCTCTCCACTGACTTTTCTAGTGGCTGAATAGAACCGTACCTGACACTGGAAACTTGCAACATGATGAGATGTGGTGTTGTAAATAGTACCGTAGTACTGTTGCTTGCGTTGGTACTCAGCTTTCCTGAACCGATTAGATTTCGCAGCTACCCTGTATTGTTTCGCCTTTGCAGCTGTATTCCCAGGGACTCGCAGTGTATTGTCTGCTGTCTCCGCCGGCTCTCTAGGCACAGAAGTCAAGTACCAATTCATTCGCTGTATGTATGCCTTTTAGCCCGGTCGTAACTGCTCTTTTTCTACAAGAGGTATTGACACAAATATAGACCGTTTTTCATTGGATCAATATTTCGCATTCGATCTTGGCAGGTAAATTATACTTGAAGTAGTAGTGGAAACTACCGGTAAGGTACATGAATTCTTTGTCCGAGTTCCTTTTTTGTCATCCATTTTATTTACCTTTCCTATTTAGTGGGCTCCGCCCCTGGTTAGCTTAACTCCTCTCGAATCACAGCTGAGCTTAAATTAACTGATTGGGGTCATCATTGCAGGAAGCTACCAAGCCCATTACCACCTACCTGCATGGACGATTTGACTTGTCCGTGGCTTGAGTGATGGATGCTAAGAATGGGATGGATACATCATTATCCTGGCATTCAGCTTCGCAGGCAAGTTCACTTCAATCTTACACTCCTCTTTCTGTCTATTGTACCTTCATTTGTTTAGTAGTGCATGACTGTACTGTCGGGTTACCGAAGTGAAACAAAACAAAAGCAAACATCCCGTGGCGATACACACCGTGAGTGATTACCAGCCCTGCATAAAAGATGATTCACAAACTGAGTGCAGTCATAGGGCTGGTGGAACCTGGCATAACTATTAGTATTACTTACACCACTAAAACTTGGACGGCCACCGTTGATGGATATGCATGTATACATCCCACTTTAAATGCAAAATAATCGTCCACCCCGCCCTCTCCGGGTACTAGCACCAGAACACAGTCACTAAACCAAAACACTCTACTGTAAGTGTGCTGACTAGTGAAGGGCATGCACTGCACACTGCAGGCGCACTTGATCCTTATTATACTTGTAGTGCACTATACTAATACAATGTATGTAAAACGTATGTTACATACAGTCACTCAATCTGCGGACAGCATGCTGTTTCATTCTTTGTGAACTCCTGATTGCAATGAAAATAAAATTTCCAAAGCCAGATTTAAATCAGGCCCGAACGTACCTTGCCCGAGTGCTCAAACTGACAAAGTCAGTGTTACATACAGTCATGAACTCGGATGGAGAGCCAAGGATTATAAAAAGTAAAAAGGACCAAGGAACTACAATTTACACTGTAATGTCCACTAACACCACCAGTTTACAATCCACTCATGCGATAACATTACTCTCCTTATGTTATTTCTATAACTTAGAACCTTCCAAGTTGGAAGGCTGCTGGAGTGCGCATCCAAGATGTGCTTGAGCTGTTAGCCAGTTAGTTGTAGAACGTCAGTACCGTCGGTCAGTGTCGTGCAATGTTATCGCACGAGCTGATTGTTTAGTAACTGGTGGTGTTAGTGGACATTATGGTGTAACTTGTAGTTCCTTTGGTCCTTTTTACATACAGTCTGTCTGGGCAGGACACAGCACGAAGATACTTTCAACACCTCCTCAAAAGTGATCCGGGGGGGGGGGGGGGTTGTAACTTCAGACCGATGATCATACGAAGCAGAGAGTCGTAAAATACGAAGAGTATATGACCCGGAATGGAGAGAACATAACCCGGGGGTCACGTACTCTCCGGGTTATGTACTCTTGGTCATACTAGAAGGCGGGCCGGGACTACTTTACACACACGGGCCAAGGACTTATGACTGTAGAGGCAGCTAAGATCTCCCTCACACATCAATGCATACTGCAACAATTGATACGACACAAAAATAGAAGAAGAAGAAAATCACTGAGGCAATATGCTTTGGTTCTGCAAGAGTGCTCAATGCCTGATTCAGGCAGAGCGGCGTACACAAAGGCACACAATTTGTTTTCATTGTGTGCCTTTGTGAAGAAGAAAATCATATTTTTACCAGTGTTCAATCGCTGAGCATGAGCTCAGGGATCTCACACCAGCATGCTGCCATGCACAATCAACACCGTACTGGGGGGAAAGTGTTGCAATACATCACATTCACTGCTACACAGCTCACGGTCTCAGTTGAATAGTATTATCAGTCTATACTCCATAGCCTATCCCCTTGTAGGCGCTCTTCCAGCCTGGTTTCTCTTTGCATTGTGCCACATCTCCTGTATTGCCATTGCTGGCTATCAGTCATCACCCATCCCACTATTTTAATAACATGTGTATTACTTGCTGGGACTTGCTCCGGCTGGACCAACTCTGAAGACGAAGTAGCAATCTAGAACAAGGGCAGACATAATTATACCGCGACAGCTGGTGGTGAGGAGCTCAAGCGCTGCATCCAGGACCAGGGCCAAGAGCAGGACTGGCTCACATCGAGCGCAGGGAAAGGTGCAATGAACAGTTGACCGACGCTCATGCCAACCAGGAAAGGGGGGGGGGGGGGGGCACCGCCTGTACCGTGACTGGGGTACTTTGCGGTCATACGAGTATGCGCGTCTCTTTCTTCACTGCCTCAGTTAGCCCAGCAAAGCGAGGATCAGAAAGCTTGCCGACTCTTGTCAGAACATTACCTTCAGTGCAGCGCACAGTAGTCTGAGCAGTGTGAATGGACAATAGTCACGATATGCAATGCAGGGATTCCCGGAACTGCTGAAAAGATACTGAGCGGAGGAAACACCAGGCCTACTAACAAGCCATTATGATACTTTCTCTATCTTAGTCTTTTGATATACATGTAACTAACTTATGGGGCTCTTACTGGCAGTGAGTGTGTAGCTTCACCGCGGAAATAAGGCGAGCTTGTGTTCGCCATTATCTTGCTCACTGCGCTGCCGAGTCAAAGGTGGTGTCTCCGTTGGGCTGCTCTCTACGTGGCCTGTGGCTGTCGGTCGTCGATGATAGCTCTGGTTCGTCTTTGCACATCAGCCGATCACAGTGTGATCCTCTTACCAACTAAGAGGATCACATCCAATTATTCCCCGAAACCGTGACTGTGTATTGAGCAGGGAGTGGTGCGTTCTTGCAGGTTTGCCGAGAGGAAGGTGCGACGTGCTCCTCGTGTGCTCCGGATGGCAGTCGTGAGTCAGTCAAATGTCAAGTTCGGCAAGAACTTTGCGTGTCTTCCTAGTTGGAACAATCAACTTCATGACTATTAGTGTTACCGCCGAAGTCGCAACTTCTAAGTTCAACTACTTATTGTAGTACAGATTCAATGCAGTTATTGGTAGGTAGCGCCTGACCCCAGCCAGCGTCTGGCACTGAGTCAGCCATGCTCTGCAGCTGCTTTGAAGTTTCCTCCTACAACGCAGCCGTCATTCACCGAGCTCTTCAACGTGAGAAACTAATAATAAGTGGCAGCAGCTGACAAGAACTGAGTCTAGCTGAATCCAAGACTTCCAAAGTGTTTTGTTCCAAGACTTGGAAAGCTTTAAAGACGGCTTCCTTCCACGAATGCGCGGAAATCACCCGTGAAATGCGTGAAGTGACACTTCGCCTTCGGCGAGGTGTAGATCTAGATCTACGTGGCCAGACTCAATACGATTATATCCGGGTGCGTTCGCACGAAGCCGCTTAGCGCAAAGGAAAGTGACCATGGTGATTGGGTCGCGTGCCACGAAAACCATAATCGCACCGAGAAAAACAGAAACGTTTGAGCGGGACCGGTACGTCGACCTCCAGAGGGCTAGCCTAGGCTAGGGCCAATACCATGAATACTGCAATAGGCAATAGGGGTACTGAGCTCATGAGCTGAGACATTCCACGGCATGAAAGTCACGTGAGCAGTACTCACGGTACTAGTAGTAGTGAGTTTTAGTACTTTGAGAACGGGTTTATCGAGCGTTTTGATGACATTTCTTTTAATTTTAGCGTTTTCCCATTGTCATCCGGTTAGCGACGTTTTATTTTAGCGATTTGCAGCGATTTTACTCACGGATCCAGTGTCTGCTCTAGGATTGTAGGACAGCCGGGTGCACGTGTACCTGGCGCAACCATTTCAACCGGGTCGGAACCGGGTACACATGTACCTGGCGCTGTCTCACCAATCGAGTCACATGCTTAAAATTAAAACTGGTTGGTTGGTTTATTTTAATTCGGACAATAAACGGGAACTAGGCCTAATGATACAAAGGCGAATGGATAAGCCGCATTTAGAAAAGAGAGGACAGGAATTAGAAAATTACGAAAGAAGAAGAAGTATCTGACACATACAAGCCATGTAGTCAGTCCTTTCAAAGTTCGAAAGTGTAAAGTACCAACCGGGTCACAGGTGACCCGGTACTATATTTTCAACCGGGTCCAAGCGCCGCCCAACCGGGTGGATTACCCGGCTCACCCGGCGCTGGAGCAGACACTGGGATCACCAGTGCACTAGTAATTCTGTACCAGATATGGTCGCCAATCATCAGGTTTCTCACTTCATGTACTCTCCGAATACCATGCAGCGGTACTACAGAATGTAGCAGTAGCATGCAACCAGGGAGTAGTCAAATGCTTGGTATCTACTGTAGTATTTTCCATTTTACTACTCCCCATATGCAATGCATCCCCCATATGCATCCCCCATATGCATCAGTTTCAGATAACCGTGACACCCCTACTCAAATTGATACAAAAGTGGCTGGCCACAGAGTCAACAGCTGCAGTGCAGTATCCATTTGTCGAAGGCAAAGAAACTGGCAAAATGCGCCAGCAGAGTCGATAAATAGCAGTCCTGATAACAGGACAGTCTACTAAAAAAAAGCTGTGTGAGTTGATATAAAATGCAGTTTGGCATACAAGCTTCTTAGAGGAAAAGCGTGCTGCTGCAAAGCTTGAGGCAAGACCAGGAAAAATACTAGTATATCAAACTAAAGATTGAAACAATGACAGGGCTGCTGCTGCTGCTGCTGCTGCTGCAGGGAAGCTTCAAGAGTTCCCACACAGACTGAGCCAGGGTAATGTGAAATACGCCGGGACTCGTATCACAAAAATGAAATCACCGGCTTGGCGGGACGGGCAAAGGGACTGATGGTAAGGTGATATAAGCGAGTCAAGTATAGGGAAATACGAAAATGTTAGTTGAACACAGCGGTGACAACACTTTGATGCTTGTTACGGAGGGACGCTATATCATAGCTAGTAAGGAGACATCGTGGGGGGGGGGGGTCCAGCCATAATGGTGTGTCTCAGTCACCCGGAGGGAAGCCATGTTGCATGCCCACACGTGTTTTTAAAGTATGAGGCAGCTTTCCCACTGTCATTCAGTGTCTGACTGGTTCTAGACCACCAGGTATTACAGGTACAGTGGCACTGGCGCAGGCAGTGGCAGTGGTGAGCAGTGGCAGTGGTGAGCAGTGGCAGTGGTGAGCAGTGTGATGCAATAGCCAGCCGCGCTGGTCTGCTGCAGCATAGGACGCTCAGATCAGGATCAACAGTAACTCAAGGACAGGGTGGCGGGTCAACGACCTTGATGTCATGACATCAGTCGCTTCTGTACTCCTCGGTACTGAACGGTCCTGTGTTCCATGTGCCGAGTGTTATCACACAGGTCCAGCATCAAATAGCACACAGGTAGCCACGCAGCACATTCAACAGGACGGCCCAGCCGCCTCTTGTCACGTAGCGCAAAGCGCTAGCGCGGCGCAGGGTAGGGTCACCAATTGGCAACACGTTGTACTGTTGTGCGGGCTAGTCTGCCATTGGGTAGTGGAAACTTCAACCTGACTGATTGTTCACAGAAAATGCTGCCTGGCCCCAATCACTACTGTAAACTGACTGTTCATTAGCACTGCAATCAAGCTGCTCAACACTCTGATTGTCACAACACTCTGATTGTGACAACACATGCTCGTGCAAGCACACATCAAGCCACACTCACCTAATTCACACATCGTCATTGCAGAGAGGTCGATACGACGATGGAGGGCGACCACCGCGGCCACGGCCACGGCCCAGAGATGAAAACCAGCTGGGGTAGGAATTCAGTGGGCGGCGAGAATAGACCTCAACTTCTTCCTCATCCTCCAAATCCTGAACGTTGGTCATGAGAAGTGAGTCGGAGAGTGGCCGGTGGGGAGGACGACGCTTGTAATAGTAGTAGGAGCTCACGGCACCGGCCACCATCAAAAACACAACAGCACAGTAGATGTAGGTGATGGCCATCTGCATTGTGGAGTAACCGGACGGCGGTGGAGGTCCCGGCGGGATCAGTGTACTGACGTTGGCAGTAGCAGTACTGCTGTTTGCTGACGGCTGGTACTCTGCTGCAGTGTGCTCCTCAGTGACAGTGGTGCTACTTGCAAACGCCGACAGAACCGGCGAGTGGATACCCGGTGTTACCGGAAAAGAGTCGGCAATGTCGCCTACTCCATGATGACTGGACACGGGCGGAGGGCTGCGTGAGCCTGTGGAGTCCGCAATGTTGCCTACCTGCCGGTGACTGGACACAGGGGTGGCACGCGAACGGTCAGTAGAAGTGACCTGCTCCACCGGTACCACATCACCTGTGCTCAGATGATCGGTGACACCCTTGTGCCGTGCACCGGGCAGCGTAGTGCTGGTGGTGGTGGCGGTGTGCCTGCTCCTGGACACACTACTTGTACGAGTGCTCATCTCCAGATCACCCGAGGCTCTGCTGCTGCTGCTGCTGCTGCTGGTGGTGGTGGTGGTAGCAGTAGCAATAGAGGTGGCAGGGGTTTTCCCTGCTTCAGTAGCCATACTGCTTGATCTATGTCTGCTGCTTACTGAATGCAACATGGTGTGAATAGCCATGATGGTCGGTGTTGTCATGGCAGCTGTACTGCTAGAGCCAGTTCTGTCGCTGCTGCCAGTTAGTGTCCATGCAGAGCTGCTGGTGTGCGGTGGAGCAGTGGTGGACATGCTGTCGGTGTGCGGTGGAGCAGTGGTGGACATGCTGTCGGTGTGCGGTGGAGCAGTGGTGGACATGCTGTCTGTGTGCAGTGGAGCAGTGGTGGACATGCTGTCGGTATTCAGTGGAGAAGTACTGGACATGCTGTCTGTATGCAGTGGAGCAGTGGTGGACATGCTGTCTGTGTGCAGTGGAGCAGTGGTGGACATGCTGTCGGTATTCAGTGGAGAAGTACTGGACATGCTGTCTGTATGCAGTGGAGCAGTGGTGGACATGCTGTCTGTGTGCAGTGGAGCAGTGGTGGACATGCTGTCGGTATTCAGTGGAGAAGTACTGGACATGCTGTCTGTATGCAGTGGAACAGCATTGGATGTACTGTCAGTGTCTAGTAGAGCAGCAGTGGACATGCTGTCTGTGTGCAGTGGAGCGGTAGTGGGTATGCCAGTGGCGTACGACCTGTCACTACTTGATACTACAGCACGCTGTGTAGCACTAGCAGTGTGCAGAGCAACAGTCGTGGCTGCTGCCCCACTAGACAAGACAGCGGCAGCACTGGTACTGGCACTGGATGATTGAGCAATGGCCAAGCTCTGGCCAGTATGTACATTAGCAGGAATAGAAGTGGCCAGAACCCTGTCACTGGGTATGGCTGTTGTGCCATCCATACCACTCCGCGCTGTACTGGTCACTACCCTGGATGCCTTGGAGAGTGTTGATGTCCTCAGTGTGTGCGAATCCGCTGTTGATACACGGTGCAGATTGTCAACGCCTGAACTGAGCTGCACAGGAGTGGCACTCTGGGGAGAAGTACTCTCTGGGGCGGTTGCCTCTACCGTCTCCATCGGAGGCAGGGTAGAAGAAGCTACGGGTGTGGTATGTTCAACTACGCCTGTGCGATAGTGTGGCAACGTCTGGAGAGCAGCCGCAGGGATTTCACTTTCAACGGTAGAAGTCAAGCGCTCAGTCGCTCTGTCGGTTCCTGCAGGGGAAGTCAACGCGGTAGCAGCACCTGGGACATTAGAAGGCTCTGTTGCCATTGCCGGTGTAGTATTAGTAGCAGTGGAGATAGGGGCAGCACTGGCAGCTGCAGTGTGTGAGGAGGGCATGGCATTAGTAAGCTCTGCACTAATCACTGGCATAGCAGTTACATGAACAGAGCTGTCGGTGCTGAATGTGCTCACTGCTGCTGGAGAAGAGCTGCTTGTTGGGTTGCTCGCTGCACTAGTACTTGCTTCCACACTAGTCATATTAGATTGGCGTGACACTGAGCTAGCAACGGGTTTGGCAGCCTCTGCTGTACCGGTCAGGATAGCTGCAGTACTGGGAGATGTGGTGCTGTCCTCGACGCTCACTGCTATGATTGGCTGCTTAGTCACACCAGCAGATGAGGATGTAGTAATGGTCTTGTTCGTATGCACCCTGGGAGTAGAGATAGTGACATGCCCACTGACATTGCTGTTGGCGAGATCACCATGTGTAGACACCGATGCAGAAGAACTCGACAAGTTCAACATGCTGTGATTAACAGTGACCGGAACATGCTGAACAGCATTTGAACTGCTGGTGGCTGATAAAGACCGGGTAGCTGACGTAATGCCCGTTGCTGCTATTCCCCCATCAGAGCTGGATGAGCGAGCTACATCGCTGGCTGCAGTTGTTGATGGCCTACTAGTTGCAGTGGGCATATTACCTGGACTAGCAGCAGCTCTAGTGGAGTTTGTCGTGAATACTGTGAGTGGTTCAACATGATCTACCGTGCTCGTAGTCGCACTGCTGCCATTCAAACGGTTTCCAAGTGTTGCCCTGGCTACTGCTGCGTAGCTGCTAGTCGTTCCCAACTGCACTGGATCAGCTTCAGGAGTCTTCACAGTGGCCTGTGATGATGTCTTATTGTTTGACACCAGTGTTGAATGTGTGGCGTCGCTCAAAGCCAATGCGGGCAACCTGGCCGGTACTGAAGCAGTCATGTTGGGTGTAGCTCCGTTCCCATGCGATTGGTGCACATGGCTGGTTACGACTGTGAAGGATTCGGACTGCGGTACATGGGTTGCAGCCGGTGTACCGTCGGCAGTGTCGGGTGCAAGCGTGCCAATAGTATTAATGGTAGCAGAGTTCACTGCACTGTTGCTTCCCGTACTACTGATAGTGCTGTTAGAGCTGGCAGCAACACCGTCAGAGTCGGCAGCAGCGCTGTTAGAGCTCGAAGCAGGGCTGCTGACACTGATGGTGGCGACGTCACTGCTGCCACTTGTGTATGGTTGTGATACAGAGCTAGTTGCGCCTGTCCCACTGCTAGCAGTAACCTGAACAGGTGTGCGGTTGGCGGTTAGAGTCTGCGCTACGGTGGACACAACAGAGGTATCCGCCACAACAGCACTGCTGCTGCTGTTGTTGCCGACGACAGTAGCCACGCCAGTGTGGGCTAGCACATTGGTCAGTTGATTAGCAGACGGTGCACTGGATGTACTGGTTGCCTGTATGACCGGTGCACTCACTGCACTCAGCTCCACTGCCGTGGGTGCAGAGGAGGAGGCAGGAGTTGGTGCTGCTGCTTCTTCTTCTAACTGAGCAACACTGTCCGTTGTCTTGGGCCCTGCAGCTGCACCATCAGTACTCGGTGATGTGTTGCGAAGCTTATCGGTCGGATGGCCAGCGTCCTCCACATCGTCCGTTCGGTGTGCTCGGTGTGAGAGCACCGGCAACGCAGCCAGCACAGCAATACCTGCACAACAACAACAGTAGCAACAACACACAGTGAAACATGTCAAGGCGACCGCTCTGGTAAGCCTTAAAGGTGACCACATGCGTTAGAGGACCACCAACGGTACAAGTAGGACCGGTGGGTGTCATTTCCAGTCAAATGATCCAGGATAAAGACTAGAGAGACCATCTGTACACTGAGACCACATTCGTAAGGTCCCTTGAGTGGTCGACTTTAAGACAGGTTTGACTGTAATACCATCGGATGAAGGCACAGGCATACACCCTTACATGCACATGCAATGTAATGACACGGAAGCCAGGTTTCACAGAGTCCACATGTCACAAGTTCTGTCAGAAACTGTGCAACACATGTCACCAAAGTCAAGTGGGCATGGGATATTCACATACAAGCCTCTGTGCTGACATCAGAAAAGAAAAAAAATGTTTACACTATACTATTGATTCAAGTTGATACAAGTAAAAAGGAGACAGGTGAAATCTGGACCAGTGCACACTTGCAGAGCCGAAGGCCGCTCGACCTCACACCCGTACGTAAGGCAATCTACGAGATCTGTTGGCAAGTGTAGTAGTAGTAGTAGTAGTATTTATTATTTTACTTGGGTATACCCAACAGGCCTATGGCCTTCTTACAGGGTGCCCAAGGAGAAATTGTGAGCAGCTAGCCCGAAAAGCAGGCAAAGTACGCTGGGGTCGAATGATAGCGGGTAGTGCATTAAAGCGGTCAGCACCAAGAAATGAGAGACTGTAAGGCCTGGCCGGGACATGAATGGGGGGAGAAAGAGACTAAGTGCTGAGAGTGGACATCGGTCTGTATTTCACTCATAACTGCAATGGGCAAATGGCCATAAAAATATTCAACCAGCCTTGTTACTAAACCAGGAGTTCATAGCCCCAAGAGTTTGCAACTCTGGAAACGAGTCTGCGACCGCAAAACTTCACATCACGTGACGAACTCGTACACACTATTAATGTTGCACCCTGGCCCTGTGCATGATAGATACACGATTGTACGCATCCCTGCTTTGGGTACAACTCCCCTGTGGTCACTTTCAAAGTTCGCACTGTTTGCGAGTGTAACCTATTGAACCATGTCACGTGATGTGAAGCTCTGCCATCGCAGCACTGGATAGAGGTTGCGCAGGCAGTTGCACAAGCTATTATGGCAAAACCCCACCCACACCTAATCTGAAAATTGATGACAGGATGATAGAATATTCATAATGATCACAACACTGTCTGTGTACAGAAGGTTGTACTTCAAAAACTATTTTTGGAAGAAATATCGTGACCATACCTGTAACATGAACACAAACGAGCCACTTTAAAAGTGTGACGGAAGGCCCTTGTCAAAGAGACACCCAGTGAGTTCTTGGTATTATCCCGACTACTACTTTCACTGGCTTGTATTTCGGTTGCCACTTTGACCGTGTCCACACAGACTGCCCTTCAGTTACACAACTACGTGAGAGTTTGATTGGCATTCAAACTGTTATGACTAAACCCCGTGGCTAAACTCAGTCTGACTGTGGTTGACGGGTGAGTGGAGTGTTACACACTGTCACGGGCTACATTCAGACTACCCAGGGCTCACAGTAAACAGTTCCTCAGAGACAAAACTGCCATAATACTAATGTCGTGGCTGGCTGATCGTCCCTACGTGTTAGTTATCCCAAGCCCGTTTGCACAAAGTATATGTGCGCCTCTTGGTAGTTCCACTCAGGCGTACCTCAGACCCAAAGCACAGAGAGAAGTCAGGGTGGCGGAGCCCTCAGGTCCGATATAGTAAAGGAACAAAGGAACAGTAATAAACTACAAAGTCAAAGGCCAAACCGGCTCAAGCGGACAAGTCCGCTTGAGCGGTAGCGGAACTCCTATAAAGAAAGTCAAGAAAGCTATAAAAGAGAATAAGACTAATACAAGACTCATACAAGACTCAAACAAGACTAATCCAAGACTCCTCGATATCTGGCTAAGTCAGCGAACTTATACTAGCTGAAACCTATGCGAGCGGCTACGAAGGGAAGGATCGAGCAGGCAGCAGCGAACGAGTAGTGAGCTGTGCTAAACTCAGCAAAGAGTAATGTATCTAAGTATTGAAGCTTATGCTAATCATGAATCGGAGCAACTAAGCGGAACAGCAGAACAGCGGACCGGCAACAGAGACAATAGACGACAGTTCTATGGTAATGGATAGTCTAGGTCCGGCGACAGAAGAGGTAACCCTATCCTAATCAAAAGGAAGAGAACATTGATGAAGAGCCGCGGTAGAGGTAGGTGACAGGCTGATAGTGAATGTGTGCAGTACTATAGTGGTATTGGTAAGTAGTACTATCTACGCAGGGCATGACACTAAGAAGGACCTGAAGTGTGCCCTTCTTCTTGCCGTACTTCCGCACGTAATTATATCATATGCGCTTATAATTGGGGGGGGGGGGGTGCTTATGTCCTGACACGCGATTATGATTATGTGAACACTATTTGGTGAAACACCCGGGAGCTGAATATACTGCTAAGCATTGTGACAACACCGTTGTTTAGGACACAGACAAACCTTTATTGCACATACATGTATAGCGCATGAGCTTCTACCCGAATATGTTCACACGGCAAAAATTCTTTTTTGTAGCAAAATTGTGGGGAAGTACGGTAGCATTATCGTACACAGTAAACTTTTCAAACAGGAATTATGTGTGGCTTGCATATGCAACTACAGGTATTGTGTACCCGTCACGAGTCAGGAGTCAGTTTAGGTATGGGAACGTTATGTGTTCTGGTTGTCGCCAACACTCCATGCAGCAATTAATGCCAGGCTGCGACAATCACCCAGATCTACAGTATTACGTAACTGCAAGCCATCCGGTGGTATGCTGCCACTACCACTGTACCAGACTCTGTACCACACAGCCCGTGATACAGGCTATGACAGTACAAGTATGACTCTATGAGCCAGATACACTGTACATGTATGATCTAATGACTACGTACATGTCCATGTAGATGTACTGCATGACTGTAGTCTGCACTTGGAGAACCAAAATGTCTAAAAGCTAGCTACACTACACAGTCTACAGACGTCAGGAGTCTCTCTTGTCTTGCACTTCGCAGCTACGTCTATACACGTACAACATGATCTGTACTATCTGGAGTCAAGCAGGGCACAAATCGTTGACACAATAGATTTACTCGACCTCTCGCCAACTTCTGACAACCACAATACTTCAGGACACAAAGATATCCCTAGCTTCAGCCTAATGCCGTGCGTATGTGGAGCATTTCGCCAGTACGTAACAGCAGAGTTTGTCCCGGACCAAGCGATTACTGCATGCTGTCATGTCTATTCCACAAGTACTGAGTAACGTTCAGACATACAAGAACTTCAGATTCACATTACCTCTCTCCTGGCGGACACCTGCCGCCTCTCCAAGCACGAGCAGCACCAGTAAAGCAGGTAGGACACACACGGCAGCCTTCATGGCTTTTCTACTGTACTCTGTAGCTCCACTGAAATCATGCCATGAGCCAGGACAAAGCTTGAAATATGTCACTCACAAACATTGCTTGTAACTTTATTCGTCTTTGTTCTTTTCAAACTAGTTGTGGGATGACGCCGGTAGACTCAACGCCCTAGCTACGGTAAATCCGTGTAGCTAGCTGCCAGAGCTTGACTGATGTAGCGACTCGAGCCAAAGCCTTGCACTCTTCCAGATAACCATGATAGCGAGCGCTGAGCAGGCCACAGCTGATCGGATGTTCACACTTCCGGAAGGTGTCGGTCACGATGTGGCTTTCCTCAGGAGTAGATTATTCTATCTCTTCGAGGAGAGGGAACAAGAGTCGGTGTGACACGGTTACTCGTTATAGACCGTATCTACTCAGTAGAGAACTCAGGAAGAGAGCTGGGAGACCACCATTCTGCCTTTCTGGACTACTGGCAATAGATTAGTATCATTACACAATTCAGTAGTATGAGTCACTCATAGTTCCACTCAAACATGCCAGCTATCACCAGGACCTAGCCTCCTAGGCCGCTAGGGAGTCGTACAAAACCCTGCCACTGCAGCACCCCCACCAATGACTACCTGTATGCCCATGATCATGATCGTATGCATTTTGATTCATGCATAATTAATTCTGGTATACTCTGCATAGCTGTCAACCTGATATTATTGTGATAAGCACTCATGCCAACAAATACACGAGATCACTAACACTGTAACAGAAGGAAACGACCTTGCCCCGAGCACATACATGTACCAGGCTTTGCATGGTGACAATAGCATAGTGCAAACGCATCAATGCTATGAAGTAGGTAACAGTTCACCCCAGGCACACCGACTCAGTGACACATGATGGACTCCCAGGGCCCCGGTTTGCTAGAACACACTTCGATCCGGTAACTGACGGGGTGGCACATCTTCAACGATCAGACATCAAAGATAGCAGGGGGGGGGGAACAATGTACGGGGATAGAGAGTGACCGCGGAGATTACAGAACATCAATAAAATTAACTTCAACTACCCGGTACAAGTGACAGCACCCAGAAAGGGTATTCGCCATCTATTGAAACAAGCGTTAAAAATGTCGCTTCACACGACACGCAATGTTGACAAGGACTGTGGAGACTTGTTTCAATACGGCGGAGTAAAGCTGATAGAAACGGTGGGCAAAGAAACACACGAAAGCAGTAGCAACAGTAGCAGTAGCGGTAGCAGTAGCAGTGGAACACGGACACAAACACGGGTCAATGGTGAAACCGCGGTCAGCTGAGCAGGTGGTAGAAGTGACCGACTTTGTCCATGTTGTCAGCAGCAATGCCGGTCAGCGTAGCGGTGAGCGTCTTCAGGTGCGCAACCGTACTGCTTTGGTCAGCTACAGTGAGTGCAATACAGTACAGACACAGGACATCAGCAGCAGCAGCAGCAGCAGCAGCAGCAGCAGCAGCAGCAGCAGCAGCAGCAGCAGCAGCAGCAGCAGCAGCAGCAGCATTCCATTAAAAGTACTAACCAGCTTCATCATTTTGCCAGAACTGTGGCAATACGCCCGGTGAGAAGGCAGATTTTGCATGTGCCTATGGTGAAGTACTGATACTATAAAGCTAAACAGCAACAACCAGCAACAACTCTCACTCTGTCATCACAACAGCAAGGCCGTCACAGCCGGGCTGAGGCCGCCCCACTTTTTCGGCCGGTTTTTTTTTTTTTTTTGGAGCACATTACAACAAAGCACAATGATCGCAGCTTAGCGCAAACGTGACAAATCCTCGTCCCCGATCGTGGTTTGTTGCAGATACACTGAAATAGCACCAAATGCCAGCCTGGAAATGCTTGCAATTGGCTTCAATTTTTGAATTTTTTCCCGGGGAGGGTAATGTTTGTCCCCGATCGTAGCGTCTTCTTTGTTTGTTGCAGAATCAAAAAGACTTTCATTGTAGTTACCGTACACTGAAATGGCACCAAATACCCGGAAATGCTTGCAATTGACTTCAATTTTTGAAATTTTTCCGCGGGATGACCCCCGGACCCCCTTCCATGGCCGCCCCACCTCCAAAGTCGGTGCGACGGGCCTGCAACACTGTGGTCATGACAGCATTCACAACTACAGACGACAGTGTCTCTCACAATGATGTGATTTCATCATCGCAGTACATTCAAGAAGATCAAGCCGGCATTAGGACCAAACCTAAACAACAGGGCTTTTAATAGCCTTTAGCATCATGCTGCTACAGTACTGCTCAAAGAAATCCGATGGCGTGAGTCCAGTAGCGCTGGACAGCCCTAGATATCCGAACACAGGGACGTGAACTGGTGCAGGGCGCAAACTTGCAGCACTGCTACACGCCACAGCTGCAAGTATTCCTCTGTTGCTCAATGAGGTCCGATGGCGTGAATCAAGTGTGCGTAGTGTGCACCCTGCACCAGTGTCACATCCTAGTGTTGCCAGGCCTAGGGCGGCACGGCGCCCGGCCGCGTGGCATTCACTCGCTTGATCGGATTTCATTGAGCAGCACTGTACATCAAAACAAAACGAGAGAACCTGCTAAAGAGCATCGCGCGCCTGCTGATTGTACTCATAGCTAGCTTCACTCACCTGCCTGTCTGGAGTCCCAAGTGGCCTGAGAGACGACACACAAACAAAGAAAAGCTCATCAGGTGTGTACAGTTAGACTTGGGTGCAGAGCCAAGGATTAATTTATGTGTCGTGCAATGTTATCACATGAGCTGATTGTAAAGTAACTGGTGGTGTTAGTGGATACTTATAGCATAACTTGTAGCTCTTTCGTCCTCTTTTCTTCTTATAAACAAAGAAAAAGCAGGAGCACAATAGCCAACTCACTGGTTAGTAACAGTAGAGTACACACAGCGGCAGGAGCGCCTTTCGGCAATGGAACATAACAATGACCAAGATCACCAGAATTTGTCACCAGAATTTGGTGCTCAACAAGGAAATGGAAATGCATCCTTTTTAAAAACTATTGTACAGCGAAATCTTTCGCAGCGTGCAGCTTCTGATTTTTTAAGAATTGTCCTGGTTCACGACGAGAAACCTTCGCAATATTATCTCTTCAGTTGGATCTGTTACTGTCTACAGTCAATGTACAGAGCAGTTTGCGGCGATTTATATCCGCGGATGTGTGATGGACGCGAAAATAGCGAGATTTAATCTCTAGCGAAAGTTTCTCACTTTACAGTAGATTTGCGGACACGCAAGATTCAATTTCCATATCCAGTGCATGTATGTACAATTGTACATACCCGAAGATACGTCCACGTCGCGGAGACAATCGAATGAACGTCCGCCGGCGAGATAAGTGGAAGAATACTAGCACCGTGAAGCAACTGCTTGGGAACCCAGTTAGCCTGCAGTCATCAACAAACAAAGGAAGTTACAACAAAACAACATACAGACAACTGTGGCAACAAAGAGAAAGAACAAGACGAGTGTCAGCAATGAACATAGCAACGGCAATAGCAGCAGCAGTAGCAGCAAGAGCAACGATTTGTGACAACAACGACGACAACGATAACACCACCGCCACCAGCAACAGGAAGCGGCGACTGTGGTGGTGGCAGCAGCAGCAGCAGCAGCAGCAGGCAGAAATTTGTTTACATCTACTAAGGTAGTCGGCTAGGGGTGTCTCGCCTTTATTATTCAAAGGCCAATCATCATCGGATGTCCAGGTACTTGAAGACGATGACTTATACTTGTTGTCAGATGATAGATTTCAGCATGAAATCTTGAGTCACAGCTACTGACTACTTCCAACTCACAAGCATAAAAAGATTCGAACAATCAGCGTGAGCCCGATGGCCATGTACTGCATGCTCACATAGGCTCGTAATCCCTCGTATGTACCAAATGTGACCACGAGCATAACGTCCATCCATCCTTGGCAGGCCGATGGTTTCAAAGCCTGTTTTCAACTGCATGGTACATTGTACAAAATATCACCTTGTTTTCGAAGTCGACAGCACATTACAAGGCGGAGAACGCAGTGCTCCTGACTACAACAGTGTTGCCACATCATTATAGCCAAATATCAGTAGACTGAAAAAAATAAAATGCATCATCCGGGGGCTTTGCCCCCGGACCCCCCCCCCCCCTCTCATAGTAACCCTAATATATCGTAGAATCCAGCGAATAAACCCACCCGCGCATAAGCCTAGGCCATGTTCGAACATCGCCAAGCTTCGTTGTACAAACCCACCAGCGGGATTCTACAGTGCACACGATTTCCCCCAGACAGCTGATGTTTGTATTGTAAGAGAGAGCTATGGAAACACTCGTAATGAGCAGTAAAAGCCAAAATTCTGGACCATGACTTCTAAACCTTGCACAAAGGTCAAGTTTGGACACTTTCACGGCTGTTGTCGGCAGGAGACGGTCAATTGTCGGCAGGTCGTGACAGGCCCCACAAATCGGCAGGCTACTGACATGTCGGCAGGTGTGGCAACACAGCTACAACCATAAACCAGTTGCCAGTGCGTCCTCCGTCTTGCAACAATTACATGCTGTCGACTTCGAAAACATGTTAACCCTATCAAGCAAGGCCTCTATATAAAATGTCACCTTGTTCGATAACAAAATGGAACATTCGAATACTGGATTTTGGTATTTGTTGCGCCACTAGTTTTAAGACCGATATACTTGTAGCAATGTTCAGAATGCCGGGATCATCGAGATACAGGGCTGCTCAATGAAATCCGATCGTGTGAGTCAAGTTTGCGCCCTGCATCAGTTCACAGTCCCAGCGTACACAGGTCTAGGGCTGCACAGTGCCTGACGTGGCATTGACTCGCTTGATCGGATTTCATAGAGCAGTATTGTAATTTCCATGTCCATGCCACACAGGATGACAAACTATCCTAACCACAGTTCACTACTGGGATGGCACTGGGCGGCAGTGTTCATCAATTACACAGTAACACTACGGCTGATGTCACCGTCGACATGCTTCTGAGTGATAAACAAATACGTTGTCCAGAAGCCTGAGAAAGCATTGCCGTCTGGTGCAACTGACCTTAGCCAACGTAGATAGTGTGTCGCAGGTTATCCGCAGCTCCTGCATGCATTCGGCCATCTTCAACTGCTTCCAGCGCTGCCAGAAGATCAGCTGTGTGGCTAGCAAGCTCCGAACTAGAGGACACACCGTCATGTATGCTGCAGGATCTGTTATCAATAGAAATAGCAAAACAAGGCATAGCAGCAAGCATACAATGAATTCAGTCTTCAATGAGATACCGTTAAGTAACGTTGCCATGCGCCCTGCCCGAGCAGAGGCTGCGCTGCGACACCTCGTACTTTCGTTTGATATACTCTAATTTCAGAAATTTTCGGTGCTCAATATTTTCGGTATGAGGGCAAAAGGCCAGGTTAGGTGAACAGAAATTTCCGGTACAGGGAAGCTGTTCCCTATTGGATTATGTGTGTTAGTGTTTGTTCGGTGTATTGAAATTTTAGGTATGAAGCAGATGCACCGAAAGTACCGAAAATAAAAGTACACCGAAAATTTGTGAAATTAGAGTAGCCAGGTACTAGGTGTGTGCTTTAGAACAAACAGATTTCTTAAAAAAAAAGTAAAAAAGAAAGTGCCCCCTGTGAGGATCGAACTCACGACCTTCAGATTATGAGACTGACGCGCTGCCTACTGCGCTAAGGAGGCAGCTGACTAACAAACCCACCAGTGAGAGCAATCAGCTCAAGCAAGAGTTCCCAAGTGTGATTTTTGGTTTTTTTAGATGTTCGAAATTTCTTCAAAAGGCTTTGAAGCTTCTTGTGAGAAATACAGAGCGTGCATTACTTCTTTGCTGACCATCATGCATGACAGAAAATGTTGATGGCTTCATGATGGCTTCAGCATGGAACAAATTCGGAGAGGTTCAAACTTCCAAGAATAGATTCCAGAAATTGCAAGGAAGCAAAATCCCCCAAGAGTGCGCTACTCTGCATAAGGGGTCTCCGACGGCGAAAACTCACATCACGTGTCCCAGATACGTTCGTACTACGTAC